GCGTAGCATTGTACTGGCCGGTAGGTAGGCGAAAGGGGCCGGGAGCACATGCTCCGGACCACTCTTCTCACAGGACAAGAACCGCAGGCTCTGGCGCGACTCTGCGAAGGGCCTCGGTCCAGACCCGTTCTTCCTCTACCTGAAGCTGTTTCTCGCCAAGGTACCATGCTCAGATGGTATGAATCGACCGTACCACAGGATAAACCTAGACACCACTAGACTCGTAGACCCACAGCGATAGGTAAATGATTCTAACTCTGGGCGTCCGGGCTCGAGATGGGCACCGGTGCTCGGTTTGATCCCCGTGCAACATATGTAAAGGTATCTCCCATCATGAACATGACACGCTACACCAATTACGCCCGAAGACTTTGACCTTCCATCGACATCGTCATCGTCATCGTCATTCCCCCCCCCTGCCCCCTGCCCCCGTCCCCACCCACCAGATCTACAGAAACCAGGTTGACGGAGAGTCCAAAACACGGAATGTAACCTCTCCGCATGGCCAAAAAAAGGTTAAAAAAAGGGCAGTCGTAACTAACTAGTAAGAAAAGCCCGAAAAAAAAGAAAAAAAAGAAAAAAAAAGAGTTTCCTCGAATCTCGGCCAACACGTGGTTCGAAACTTTGGGGTTTTCGTCGTCGCTTTTCAGCCAGAGGAGGAGGACAGCTGGTCGGTTGGTTGATCGACGGACGGGAAAAAGGAAGGAGGGGAAAATTGAAAGAAAGGTGATCTTCAGGTACCGTACGACCACACCCAAAGCCTCCGAAAGAAGCCTGCTAGCCGTGTTTCAGGCTTCCGGGTCCCCACTCCACATGGTTGTCCCGCAAGTGCCTCGTGTGGGCCCGGGAGACTCGGATAGGAAGTCGGTGGGAAGTGTGTGTTTTGGTTTGGACTTTGGTCGTCGGAGTAAAGTGCCCCTGGTTGCGGTGAGAGAGATTTTTTTTTTTTTTTTTTTTTCCGCCATGATTTCATTTGGTAAAGTTGAGTACCGTAAATACATTACTCTAAGCGGAGGATTTCCGATAAGGTCGATAAGGGTGAATGGTGACAAGTTGCAGGCTCGCACGTCAGGGTATGCAGGTCTGACAGAGTCTGGGCCCCGTTGGGCTCCGAGTCCGCTGTTTGGGCGGCCAAGCCTCCAAAAAGCCACGGGCTTGGCCTTTTTCCCCGTGTGCCCCAAATAGAGACGGGAGGAATTCAGCGAACGGCAACCCTAACCACGGAGCATACGAAAAGTTCTCCCTTCGACAGTTCGTATCAAGTTATCGAGACGACTCGGTGTGCTGTTGGTCGGTCTTGGAGCCTCCGCTGTTGTTTGGATATGTCGCTTGGTGACGTCCCGGCGGTGTCAAAAGAGCGGAAGATGCGAATATCCGGTAGACCTTAAAGTAGGGCATTCCCAATTGAACATAGGCACCTGTGTTCAATCGTGAAGCGGTCTAAAGATAGCCCCTACCGTTGGGCGACGAGTACGACGAGATACGAATTCGTTCTGCCTTCTCCCAGATGGGCCGATGATTTGACCTCAATCTCCTCGCTTCTTGACTTCACACCAGCAACGACCTTTAGAGCATCTTCAAAACACCCGCCAAGCCGCAAGATTGCGTTCCATGGTTCTGCACATCGCTTTGACCCGTTCTCCGTTTCGACCATTTGCTGTCAGACTTCACTCCTGCCCTCCTCCATGTGAGATGCGGAGTGATACCAGGCCATCGGTAGACTTCTGGCGGTCAGGAAGTAGCACTTGGACCTACGTGGCACTACGAATGCTGGATGACGGTATTTCGCCGGCCTACAATGTCGCTTCAAGAAAAGCGTTAAGACCCTTGGGTGCATTTCATCCCTCTTTCAGCCTCTTCCGCGGAAGCTACTGGTGTATTCGTCGATGAGGCTTTTCGGCCAAACTGCAAGAGGCTATCGAGATGTTTACCAATCTCCCCTGTCACGAAGTGTTGATAAAAATCCAAGACCAGATCCACTATCCTGGTCTTGAATCTGGACTAGAGGCAAGCCCTATTCGAAAAGCCTTCGAACTTTCTTCCATCATCTATGCCTTCGGCGATTTTTCATGGGAGCAACAGGCTTCATGGTGGGCCGGTGGCTGGTGGGGAAATTCCCCCGGCCCGTTGACCCTAGATTTCGAGACCCTGGAGACTGTACTTGACTCCTGAGTGCTGATAGAGCCAAGCAAGGGTCGAGAGGGGTAAGAACTCTGAATCTTGAAGATCAATTTTCGGCGGTCCGAACAGCGGTACTCCACCCGCTCCGGAGTGAGCTCGTCTGAGGGGTTTATTCATGATGATCGGTAGTCTTTGCGGGAGAAAGATTACGGTGTTCAAGGACTTTCTGATCTGTAATTTTGTTATCGGGCATCCTTCCATGACGCAATGTCGTTAGGATTTTAATCGCGCTTTTGCCGAGGGAAGAAATGTTTTGAATATTCGAATTTTTTTACGTTTTTCATCAGCATCATTGGCAAAAACAAAGTGCCGTACCTGCGCCGTTCCTGCATTAGCTTGTGGATAGTCCCAGCCTATTCCGATTGGCGTTCTTCTATCGTAGCTCACTAGCAGGGGATGTGCATGGCTGGAAGGGACCCCTGACGAAGTCGAGCCAATAACGTGACATCCATCTAATGCAGCGTGACGAAACCAACTTGAACGGCATAAGAGCTGGGATCCGCGTATAGCGGCGAGGCTCTCTTGCCATTTTGGTAACTCATCTCTTGCCACTCAATAGTGTAGATCCTATTATTAGTAGCAGTGTCCCAGGGCGGGTTGTGCATGTCTTCTGCATAACTAGTGGTGTGTCGCTACAAAATTCCGTGCCATTGGCTGCGCCGCTCTGGAGTGGCGGGTATTTTCTTGGTGGTGTGCTGATCGTGAAGAAATAGCATGGTGCGGATTAGAGCATACCACTGTGTGGTACTTGTAATGAACCGCCGCAGAATAGTTGTGCATGACCAACAGACTCTTCAAAGGCCCAGAATTTGCGCACGGCACGCACAGAAGGACCGAACCTTTGAACAGTCAGACGCATTGATCTCATTTGATTAATTACTATGTGTCTTGTCGACACATGTCCCTGAGATATACGCGCCGCAGCACTGCTGTTGATGCGCATGTTGCTGACCCCGCACCGCACGGCGCACGGTTGTTGGTTTCAAAGGGTATCAAAGCGGTGCAAAAATGACACATTCCAATCTGCTATCGATACGGTCCAGTGAGACGAATTAATTGGCGCCTATCTATCAAAGAATCGGTACCTTGCAGGCTTTGCAGATCATGAAGAAGTAGTCAGAAGTTCTGGAAGCTCGATTGGAGCACCTTAGCACTGCAGTCATGGCGGCTATGCTTTTGACCGACCAATATGAGGCCGAGCTGTGCAGCAGGACCGCCCATTATTCCCAGGCAACGGGATCCTATCGATATGGGCGCTATTATCGATAGCGGGTGTGTGGTCCAGTAAGATGCTGACGCGGGGCCTTCGTAAGCTGATTCGTATCATCGTACGGAGATGCTTTTCTCAGCTTTCTGATCCAACAGGAGGCATCTGTTGCGTAGAATCCTGTCTTACTCCGCTGAACCATAGTTGAGATGTCACCTTTTTAGATGGACCTGTGGATTCATCAGGCTCGAGGGTCGCAGCTGAAATTCACATCATGTGGGTAGTATGCGCTTGCTTGCAGGTGGAACAGCGTGCCCCTCATCGGCATTGGCCAGTGAGGGTGCTGATCCTTGCCTGAAGGCCCCAAAGTATCCTGAGTACAGTGCCAAGTCACAGGTCGCTATGCACAGCAAGACACCTTTGGGACTGGAGTTGAGTGGTCATGCACAGGCAAAGTCTGGTACCAGGCCAAGTTTGTCTGAGAAGAGTCGTCGCTTGCTTCGTTGGGGCGTCTTGGTCGCTCGCAATTTCCCAATCATGATAAAAACAATAATGTCCCTAATGAATCTCTACCAAATTATGGCCCATTCAGGGTTTCCCCAAATCCCAATGGGAGGTCATTCATTCGTCAGCCTTCTTGCCTTTGTCATTGTAAGTCGCACGCCTAAATGATTTATTTATTTATTTTTTCGGTTCCGCTCGCTGCTGTGTCAGCCCTGAGAGAGGGAGGGGGGGGGTTTGTGTGTGGGTAGTACTGCGACTGGGACAATAATGGTACAAGTGATGAGAGAAAAGCGGCGTTGGAAAATGGACTCGTCAAATGGGTTGGACTCGGAATGCTTTCTAGTAAGCTTGGGTTAGTGCATGCGAGCTGGAGAGGCAAGGAGGAGAAAGAGGATGAGGATTCGAGGATTGAGGGATTGAGCTAGAAGCTAGAAGGCTAAAAAGTAGAGCTATTCAAGTTACTGGGATGCACTGCGCCATCATCACATCCCTCCCGAAATCCCCATACGATTTGATCCGTCTCTACTCTAGCTCATGTGCTTATGTTCGAGCCTAGGGTTCCTTAGGTCGATTTAACTCCATTTCGTTGTCCTCTTTCGCCTAAGTGGAGAATGGAAGAATAACTGGCCTTGCCTTCTTCAACGCTTGTCTGCGTTATTCTACTTTACCCGCTGAGTGCCCTCCACATTCATTTTCTTCTCTCTCCTCATTATCAGGTCTGCTCGATCATTTCGTCGACACTCCAATCTCTTTTCCATTTTTACTACTAACCCACTTCTTTGTAATATTTTTATTATTTTTGAGATCTTTGACCTCGGGCTCTTTCATTACGTGCCCTTCTTCAATCCTCTCACTGTCACTCATTTGGCACTTCTGCCCACCAGACAAGCAAACACTTCGAATTCCAGACCGAGCCCGAGCAATACTACACCCCTAAACATATTAGACAGACGTTTGGATAGTCCAGCTCTGTTGTTCAGTCACTCCTTCGACCAGTCGACAACGTTTGGAACAAACAAGTATGGCATGATCCTGGAATGTAATATGTCAGGGAAGAGGCAGTGCTGACAATTTTCACTCTAGCCCGCCAGATAATTGCACAACAGCCATGGAATCTTCACACTCGATGCATCCTCCCCACCCAATGGGACAACAATCCTTTTTCTATTACACCCCAGACCCTAATGCAGACCGTCGGCAGCACGGCAACTTCGCCCCACACCCTAATGCAATGCACGGTGGCATAGCAATGCATCAATACCAGCAACAGCTCTACCATCATGAAATGATGATGCACGGACAGTACCCTGTGTTCGCTCCGTTGCCCTCGTCCGGCCCGTCCATGTACCAGCCTCAGAAGTCAATGCTCGCCATGGCATCTCCTCGTCCCATGCAGCAGAAGCCGGCTTTCTTATGCCAATATGAAGGCCAGCAGCTTTCAGTGAACACCGAGTGCAGCACACCGGATCTTTACGTTTACCCATCGACACCACCGCTTTCTTTCTCTGGGAGTGCCTCCAACAGCCCACCATCAACTTGTGGTGTTCTGCCCACTCCAGTAACGGGTGCATACATGGGACTTGAGAAGAACATCGAGGGCGTCAAAGAGGGATGCCAAAGTGATGTGCAGAGTGAAATTCTCGCTGGCGGGGATTGGACTCGATGTTGCTCACCACCATTGACACCTGGTACGTCACATGAATCATCGATCTGTTCCCCATGTTCGACCACAACCATCGATTGATTATTGTGGATTTGAAGAAATTCGATACAATTTTCGAAGTGTCGTGTTCTAATGATTGCGTTGTGTCCGTAGTGTTTATCCACCCGCCTTCGGTAACGGCTAGCCAAGCCTCCGACCTCCTTTCCATCAATTCTTGTCCTTCACTTTCTCCTTCACCGTCACCAATCTCGCGATCCAGCACTACCACTTCCACTACCGATTTTGATTTTTGTGATCCTCGCAATCTATTTGTCGATGCGCAAAACTCAAGCAACATCGCGATCGACTTTCCACCTTTGCCAACTTTGTGCTCAGGGGACGACGAGGAGCACAAACTGATCCTTGGAGGTGATCTCAGCCTAATCAAACAAGAATCTCAATTCAGTAAATCTTTCGAGTCTTCAGCGACATCTACCCTCGGTGGTCTGCCAAGCTTCGACACATTCTCTGATCTCGACGACTCTGAGAACGAGTTCGTCACTGACCTTTCCCGATTCTCACGTTCGGAAAGCACTTCTTACCTTGGCAACAAGAGACAGCGACTCGACCTCATCTCATTTGACGACGAGGAGTTCCTCAGTGAAGACAGTTTCGAGGACTTTGAGAACGTTGACCAAGTTGCGTCGGCCGGACTTCCAACACCTCCTGAATCCCGGCGCTCCTCTGAAGACGTGTCTGCCAAGATGAAGACCACCAAGAAGCGGGGTCAGACCAAGAAGTCAGTGAAGAAGACTAGCATCAATGCCGACATATCTGACTCTGAGCCCAGCATAAAGCACGAGACGCACTCGCACGCCACTGGCTCGTCACCAGAGCAAGGTTCTGCTGCTCCCGAAACATCTGAAACTCATGATAGCAATGCTGCCTCTGACAGCAACGCTGTTGCATCTGGCACTGATACTGCTGCGACCTCCCTCCAGCCAGTGGCACGTCGAGGCCGCAAACAATCACTCACGGATGATCCATCAAAGACATTTGTTTGCAATCTGTGCTCTCGCCGCTTCCGTCGCCAAGAGCATCTCAAGCGTCACTACCGCTCTCTCCACACTCACGACAAACCCTTCGAGTGCAATGAATGTGGCAAGAAGTTCTCCCGTAGCGACAACCTTTCACAGCACGCTCGCACTCACGGAGCCGGTGCCATCGTGATGGGAGTCCTAGAGGATGGCGAACTTCCACCAACGGAGGCAGGAAGCCCCATCGACCATACTGATACAGGTGCTCTCGGTGCCGTTCTTTTCGAGGCCGCCCAAGCCGCCGCCGCCAACGCTTCAAGCAGCTCTTCATCCAGCAACAGCTCTCGCCGAGATAGTACCAGCCCAGCACCATCGATCGAGAATATCAGGACGAACAGAAAGAGGAAGAGGGAGGAATAGACAATGTCAAAATTGTACCATATTTACGACGACATAACGATGGAACGTATTCGTCCGCTCCAGCCAGCGTGACGCGGATCAAGCATAGCATGGAAGACGGCTGTCCTAGCCGCCAAAAGTGTTGCTGTATTCATAAAGGGGTATTACTATCTTAGAACGGCGTTTGCACTTGCTCTAGCGGCTTACGGGCAACGAGACAGGACTTGCTTGGAGGTTGCCAATGGGTGTTGCTGACTTTTTCTCCTTCTCTGTAATCATACTTGGGTGCTTGATGGACGGGGCTTTTCTTGCTGTGTATGCTGTATCCCGCCTTGTTGTATGCACTATGCTGGTCATTCTGCTACACATAGCTTACTATCTTATCAATGAAGACTGTTAAATAGCTATCCTAATGCTACACTGGTGGACCCGATACACTCTCAAAGGTGACATATCCTGCGGACGGAGTACTCCGTACTCAAATTATCAACATTGGGTTTCAACTCCGGGACCACACATCTGCGGCGCTAATAGCACAGTACTGTATGAAAGACCTCGCTCGGCCTCACCGACCAGGCCACCAAGATTCTCCTCGCGCCGATCCATTCGTCATACTACCCTGGTGCGACCATCCTTCAGACCGTAGCCGCTATCTTCCTGCATATACTGCCTTCACGCCAGACTTGCATAAGATAACTTTCTCTCCTTAGCGCGCGGTTGCAGGTCTCCTCTCAGCAGACCACCCAAGACCACCATCAGCGACACGCCTGTTCGTCTGGAATGGACGTGACGAATCCAACGCTGCCGTAGACAGCTCGTAGCCGCTTGAATACTGGCCATGTGATGTCTCTGGACCCGCTCCGTAGGCTCAGAGGCATTTCGTCTGGGCAGCCGTCCACGCCCTTGGCCTTGCCACCTTCACGTGAACCACAGATGTGGGGCATCCAGCGGCACAGAACCGCATGGCTTTGCTTGATACCTTTCGTTTCCTCCAAGAAGAAGAAACCATGCCTCACCCATCCTCGGCGACAGCAAAAGTCACCCTCAACCAAAGACTGCATCCCTGACAGGGCGTAATCGTCTCCCCATACTCGGCGTTCAACTCCAACTCTTCCTCCGTAATCACATAGGCACCATCCTTCCCACACCGGCAGCCACGATACCACATCTGTTCTTTCTCGTCATAGCCCATGTCACCTAGATCCACGGTTTCCAGGCCTGGGTGTGAGGGTTGGACCGGGACTCGTGTTGCGGACGATGATGTGATGAGAGAGAGGTCGTGTTCGGAGCGGGCGCTGGGATCCGTGAGGGTTTTGTAGGCGAGGGTGATAGCGTCTATGGTGTATTTTGAAGTCGACGGTGAGGCGGGGGAAGGGCGGGATTTGTCGGGGTGATGAAGGAGGAGGGCGCGGCGGTAGGCGTGGCGGATGTCTTGGTCTGTGAGGTCTTTGCTTGTAGAGGGGTTAGATGGGAGGCCAAGGACTTCGTAGTGGTTTTGGGTGTAGCTTCTTTCCGGCATGGCAGAGGAGAGTCGACCAGAGGGTGGGACTGGACTTGCTGCAAAGCACGGCGAACAGTCACTCGGAGGATTTTCCTTCAATCATACACCCGTAAGGACCCGAGGACCCTTCTTTTTCTTACCCCACAAATGACATCCTAGACGCCGATCTTTTAGATCTCATTCGCGCGTTCCTTGGCATATTCCGTTGTGTCAGTATCAAATCAAGTTTAGACAATACTAACCTCATTCGACTCCTTCCCTATGTCATTCTACTTACTGATTGAAGGTCCATATAAATTAGTATTACTATCAATTCCCAACATTGAGAGAGAACAGTTGCTTGCTCAATTGACTCTGTATACAAACCCTACTTTCCTCTCCATGTCCTGCCCCAAACCCCCGTGATTCTATGCTCTCGTTCATTTCAATAGTGCCGTTGGCCCACAATCATGTCGAACCACGACGACTTTGACGAGAATGCTTCACGCCGTACCAACCAGGCGCCATACACCGAGCGACACCCTATACCTACCATTTCAGGGTATCAGGATCGGAAACAAGAGCGCCAGGAGGACTCTGAAGCTACTGTACCCCAATCCAATATAGAGCACGAAGCTCCGGAAAAAGAAGAGCATTATGGGCTCTTTGATTCTACAAAACGTTTCCTCCACCTCGATGGCCATATCAACGATGAAACGATAAATGAACAGTACCCATACAGCTCCTACAACCGAAATGTTGACGGAAATCCTCCTGATTCGGAGGGAAAGAACGATCATAGAGATAGCCTTCCGAGTGAGGGTGGGGACCAAGACGGATCTGAAAAGTCTTCAACGCTCAAGGATACGTCGGAGGCAACCGACAGTACGTTGGATCCACGACAAAAGAGGAAGAACATGAAGCACATGAAGAGAGACCACGCCCCTCGAGAAGTGACGGATCCTGTAACGCACCTCAAGGTCATGGTCCATGATACAACTAACAAAGAGCTCCAAACTGTTCCTGCGAATGAACCTCCTCCGGGCTCAAGTCATCGAAGTGCTACTGGTGCCAGTGCAGGCTCGAAAACCAAGTCTGAACTTGAGCAGGAGACGCAGGAACAGCAGGCAGTACACCAGCGAATGGAGAAGCTCTTCCCACCGCCAAGTTTTGCTGCTACAAAAACAGAGATAAGCAGTGTCTACAGTCTTGCTTTCACAGTGGGAACAAGTTCTCTTCTTCTCACCGCGCTTTCCCTTCTTGTTGGAAGCCATTTCATCAGCGGTAGGACTGATATGCAAAGATCCTGGCCTCATACCCTGCTACTGTCCTCACTATTGCTGGTCTTTGGTGTGGTAGTTGGCGGCGGCATCATCTGGGGCATACGGGGTTGGCTAATTCACAGGATCAACGACATCTGGGATGAAGAAGTCTGGGATAGCGCAAGGAAGCAAGAACAGGAAACTATCAGCTCTCCAATGCCGGAATCGACTCAATGGCTCAACAGTCTTCTGTCCAGTGTTTGGCCACTCATCAACCCCGAACTTTTCACCAGCCTGGCGGATACTCTTGAAGATGTCATGCAAGCGTCATTACCCAAACTAGTGCGCATGGTCAGCGTCGAGGACTTGGGTCAGGGTAATGAAGCTATTCGTATTCTAGGAGTCCGGTGGCTTCCCACAGGAGCGGCTGCTAAGACGGTGTCCAAAGATGGCAAAGTCAAGAATGAGAAGGACGAAAGCGACCGTAAAGTCCCTGGGCAAGGCGGAGTCGACGATGAGACCAAACCAGACGACATGGGATCATCTGGGGAAGATGAGCAGTCAAAGGGAGATGAACAGAAGAAGGAGGGTGACGAGGAGAACATCGCTGAGGGCATGGAAGCAGAGGAAGGTGATTTTGTTAATGTTGAGGTTGGATTTTCATACAGAGCGTCAAGTAGCGGCAAAGGCATTAAGGAGAAATCCAAGAACGCTCATCTGTTTCTGGCTTTCTATCTACCTGGAGGTATTCGTTTCCGTAAGTTACTATCCCAATGCTACCTTCTCTAACTAGTAGTAAGACGTGCTAATCGGGTCCAGCTGTCTGGGTGGAGCTCCGTGGCATCGTCGGTACGATGCGTCTCCGTCTCCAACTGTAGGCTGACCGAGTCTTTCAAGCTCGCTGCTAGCACAGATCGATTGACTTGCTGACTCTGATGAAAGATGCCCCGACCCACCATTCTTCGCGCTCTGCACTTTAACCTTCCTTGGGCAGCCCAAAGCAGACCTCTCCTGTGTGCCACTGACAAAAAGGGGACTTAACCTAATGGATTTACCGCTCATCTCGTCCTTCGTGCAAAGCTCTATCGATGCTGCGCTCGCGGAATACGTAGCTCCAAAGAGCTTGACGCTGGATCTGAAAGACATGCTTGTTGGAGATGATTTCAAGAAAGATACCACGGCCCGAGGTGTTTTGATGGTCAAAATTAAAAGAGGGCGAAACTTCAAGGCAGGAGACCCAGGCTTGGGAATTTTGAAAAAGGCTTCGTCTGACGCGTACGTTGCCGTGGGATGGGCAAAATTCGGAAAGCCTGTGTGGAGTACACGAGTTATCGTGAGCGACATGGAACCTGTGAGCACCCATTCTGTGCCTTGAAGCTCATAAGTCTTATTCTAAACACAATGCTAAAACCGGATTCGTGTAGGTCTGGGATGAGACTGCTTTCATCCTTGTGGGTCCAGAGGAGCTCAATGCGGAGGAACGTATAAGGGTCCAGCTTTGGGATTCTGACCGTACTTCAGCGTAAGGCACCTTTCGGATTATCCCTTTCCATTCGCGACTGCTTTTTGAGTCGCGAGACACTCTGGAGGAACGGGTCACCCATTTTATCACCTTTCTGCTCCTCAAACATGTCTTATCTCCCAAATCTTGATCACGAATGGGAATACTGACTTCGAGATGTGCTAGCGATGATGATCTTGGCAGAATCGAAATAGACCTCAAAGAACTGATGCACTCGCCTCAATCTAAAGAAAAGATGTGGGATCGAACCGATGGCTTTCTTGCTCTAGAAGGTGCGTACACCTCGGAGTAAAGTCCCCTTCCGTGTTCGAAGGTTCAGATGCAAACCGTGTTTGGGAAGTGAATCCAAACGCTAGCTTCCTTCCTAGACCGTGTCTTGTAGCTCAAGCATCTAATTTACTGAAAACATGCTGACCCAAAATCCACGCAGGGAGTAAAGAAATGCCGGGGACCTTGGATTGGAGTGTGGGGTATTTCTCGAAGACAAGCATACGAGATGAACAGCTAAAGAAACAAACAATCGAGGAAGATGTCAGATCACTCCAGGGATTAAAAGACAAGGTCTCCAACGATGCTAAAAGCAAACTCCGGGAAGCCACGACTCATGATGAATCCCACGAGCTAGACCAGCAAAAGGCTCAGATGTTGAAGTCTAAAGAGGACGCTATGATCATTTCAACGCCCCCGCTCGAGGACTACCCGACGGGGATTCTCGCAATTCAAATTCATCAGATTACAGGCCTAGAGTTCGAGAGAATTAATAAGGGCCAATCCAAGGGAGACGAGGGCGATGATGTCGAAGAGGACAATGATCTACCATCGAGCTACTCTACTGTGATCTTGAATCACCAGACCGTATTCAAAACACGCACAAAACCTAAGAACCCGAACCCATTCTTCAATGCGGGAACCGAACGATTCATCAGAGACTGGCGGACCACCGAAGTGATTATCTCGGTCCGTGATTCTCGAATCCATGAGAATGATCCTCTCCTCGGAGTTGTTGCCCTACCTCTCGGCAAGATCTTGAGGGGGCGATCACAGGTGATGGACAATTATCCCTTGGTAGGGGGACTGGGCTATGGTAGGGTTCGCATATCCATGGTCTTCCGCTCCATAAAACTACAAGCTCCGAAAGAGCTTCTCGGCTGGGATAGCTACGGAACTCTGGAAGTCACAGGGCCAATTACTTCAAAGGACATCTCGCCTGACCTGCGAAGTTTGCGCATGAAGATACGCACGACGATCAATCGGGGTAAAATGTACTCTTCCGAAACAGACACGGAAAACGGAAGCCAGTGGACAGGCAAGCATGAGCGGCCGGTGCGCGTTGCAGTTCGTAAACGCTACTGTTCTTGCGTTGTCATCGAGTTCCGGAAGAACAATCTCGGCTTGGACAAGACTCCCGCTTTCGCCGTGCTGTGGCTCAAGGATATCCCGGATGAAGAAGATCGCACCGTTACTCTGCCAGTCTGGAAGAGTGATCCGGATACTCTAAAGCGGGCACAGTCCAATTGCGACGATAATTTAGGAGAGCGAATGGGCACTATCGAGGTGCCAATTAAGTTCTACCGCGGACTGGGCGCTTACCACCATAAGCTTACCAGCAAGAGTCCGAATCTTTCAAACGTTTTCGAGGTCCTCAGCACCGCCGATGACAACCAGGAAGTGGATATGGCCATGTCTGACGAGGAATCAGCGGACTCCAGCGATTCCAGCGATCCGGATGAGGAGGGGCCCCATCATGCCGCCAACGGTCTTATCCGCAAGCTCAAGATCAATAGCAAATCCTCCACAGACGGCGCGGAGGATGATGGCCACAAGGGTAGAGGGCCAATAGACCAGATTAAGGACTACAAAGTGCATAGCGAGCAATTGCATCGAAGACATAGAGGCTTGATGCAGTGGAAGGGCGCTAGGACCGCTAATTATCTGAAGACTAAGGTGCAGCATGGGAAGGATCATTTGACGGATCATTTCAAACATCATGAGCGGGATCCGGGGATAGAGACAGAGGTTTGATGCAAGGCGTGGGCACAGGAAGAGGAGAAGAGATGTACACGCGTTGGTCCGTTCTGCTTTTCTTATACGATACCCATCATTTGGTGGCGCTGAAGGAAAACATCGAGGCTCGTTGGGATTGACGCGGATGCTAGAATTGGTAGTCGAGCACGCAGTATTCCGAACTGATGGTACGAACGAGCGCGACGCCGCATCTTTGGTATTCTGTTTGGATCGGATACGAAACATGCTTTCGTACCACGTCCTATACGTCCATTCCACCATTCGAGAGGAGTGCTCCATCCAACACCCAAGCATCGCAGCCCCTACTCCCCATCCCCCGGTATAGCACCACGACCCCGATCGAGTACTACGAGACCTCCACCCCCCCCCCATCCGTCCAACGTCGCGCCCCATCCTCCCTTCTTCTCCCCTCCTCCAGCTTCCCGGCCTCCTCTCCCCCGCTCGAGGAACGTCGTAACTGACCACGTACCGCTACCCTCCTCCAAGCACGGCCCCCACCACCCGCTCCGGACGCGCTTACCCGTGATGCCGGCATACAAACGACGGTGCACGCGGCGAGGGCATGATGCGGGTCGCCGCGCGGTGGTGCGATCACTCGGCTCGCGGGTTCTCAGGTCGTCAAGGGTGAGATGTCAGATGGGTGGGTGGGTGATGGGGCATGATGCCGTTTTTTTGCGTGATGGAGTCTGGCGTGGACTGTATTCTGGCGTTGGGAAGTAGGCGATTTTTCTTGGGTGGATGGGGGTGAGGCTGCGAGGGTAGGGTTTGGAGGTTCGTGGTAAAGTATGCTTGCGGGTTGTGTTGTGGAGGGGTTGGGATTTGATGCGTGCGGTTGTATGAGCGAAGGTCTTGGGATGCTACTTGGTGTGAATTAGGTATGAACATTGGAAGGTTGGGATTTTGGAGCATGACTCAGGCATCTCATTCGCAGTGCCGGGCGTGTTCTCCCATCGTATGAGGGGACGAGGAGAGGTTGGTGCAAGGAGTAGTCGTAAATGCAAATCGATGATGATACGTACTCTACAACATTTACACCGCTGCGAAGTTCTTGGAATACAGAGCTACCCGACACCGGTTTCGGTTGCAGAGTAGAGTACATGAAGATAGCTAGCCCAAAGAAAGACAGAGACCCACGCGAAAATCCAGTCCAATCCAGTCCAGTCGAACGAGTGGGGGGGGGGACTATCACGTTGCTACGGAACGACCTAGGGACTTGAGTGAACAAAGGCAACGGCCGACTGCCACCAGGAACCGTGGTCGATCCAACCCCGTCCAGCGCAGCGCCCCTCTACCGTCGGCACCAACAAGCGTTCCTTTCTCCATCTCACGCATATCAGCAACGATCAAACCCAGAAGCGCAGACTTCAACGAATCAAGCACGCGGGTCCTTGACACGGGGTCCCGGCCCTTCGATCCTGACCGCGCCATCGTCCGGGAGGTGGTGCAGAGGGGTGTCGCGGCGACGTAGGTTGTCGGGCGAAGAAGGTGGGCTCAGCGACTAGTCGATCGCGTCCTCGTTGCGGCGCGTAGGGCCTCCGGTTTCGATGAAGCCATCAGGATTAGGGATGAGGTCGTGATGGGGGGAGTCACTCCGACGTAAGGGGTCGCTGTCCTCGGTGGTCGAAGGCGGGCTCACCGACCATTTGACCGCGTCCTCGTCGCGGCGGCGTAGAGCGTCGTTGTGGCTTTCGGATGTGTACCAGTGGACGGGGAAAGTGGGGGTTGGGTGGTATCCTACACGCCTTGGATTAGGCGTCGGAGTTGTCATCGAAGAGCTTGGGCAAAGGGGACGTCACTTACCGCTGGGGATGTCGATGTTGTCTGGGTTGTTGGTGATGGAATTAGAATTTTGCTTTTTTTTACCGGTCAGACAGACCCCTGAGCTGTCATCGAAAGGCTTAGGGAAGAAAAGTATCACTTACTGATGTCTGTATCGGGAAGTTGTGGTCGTAGGAGTGGGAGTGCAGAAGCCGAGAGAGCACAGACGACTGCTGCTAGGGTGTGGAGAGCGAGATGCGTAACGAGGATATAGAGAAAATTCCTCCAACAGATGTTGCTGTTGTTAGTTTGTCTCAAGAGCATAGGGAAGAGGATAGGGTCTGCTATGAGAGTGACTCTCAAAGACCACCTTTATACACAATGTCATATCGGGTACCCATGTGAGTGCAGGCCTGACCCGTTGCGGTGTAGACACGTGCAAGATTCCTTCGAGGATCATGCAAGATTGACTACCCGCAGTTCGCAGGTATTCCACAGCCCCAAAGACGTCAAAATGCCCGCAACGCGTACACCCTCGTACACGATGAGTAGTTTAACTTCATTGGTAGATGTTAAGCAGCCCGCAGCTTTTTCTCCGCGTTTCACAACAAGATACTACCACCCAGAAGATCCAGATGATTGCGGAGATGGCATCCCACGTGGGAAGTCAGGCCTTGGAACTCAGGACCGCGTCTTCAAGAAGGAAGGCACAGTCTTCGCGCTCGCCCGCGTGCCCATTCTACAAACATACATTCAAGGCTCGATGCAGACTACGAACGGCATGTTTCAGTATCAAAGACGTGCGGATGAAGAGCGCCACCACTTTCGAGAGTTGACAATTAATTCTGGTGGCACTCTTCATCCGCACGTCTTTGACGATGAAATTTAACGAGCCCGGAGCAGATGAACGGGCCTCGCAGAATCCATATTGTCCTCGCTTCCTTCAAAGACAATACGCGTATACAATCTCAGCCAAACACACGTGCACTATCATTGTAACCTGTCAGCAAATCTTCCAAACCCCCACCATCTGCACCGTTGCGGCACCGTAATGGAGACATCGGATTCTAATGCCTGGAAGCCGAGAGCATGTCAATGGCCGAAGAACCACCGCAAAGCGATACATTCCAAGACTTTATACATCAGGATCATCTTGAAAGGGGCAGGCTGCCACAAATCATGTGGAGCATGTTTACGTGAGAGCTGTGCATCGTTTCTTGGCATCACATGAGAGGCTTGTCTGTAGATGCTAAAGTGCATGAAGCGTCCTCCCAGGCACTGGGGAAGTCAAGAGAGGTTGCAGCAATAGAAATGTTCCGACGACAGTGTGACATGCAAATTGCCAATTCTGGTATTGCAATGTCGCCACCCTTCTAAATGAATGTAGCTGGAGATTGAGCCGCATTTCAGCTGAGGTAATAGGCATCACCAGATGAAACCCATTGTATGGAACATGATACAAATGATCAATACGGAGAGTCGCGGGCTACGAGGAATCGGTTTAGTATTCGTTTAGGGTTCCGTAGGTGTGGCATCGGGATCGTCGTCAGTAAATCCTCCTGATCTCAAGCATTAGCAATAGTCGGATGGAAGGTGCGGCGCAACTCACCTGGCGTCACCGGAGCTACATCCCAATTGCCATGCGTAATTGTCCAGCGCTTCTTGCGCGTGGAATCAATATCGGCAATAGCAGAGACTTCTAATACGATCCATTAGCGATGAACGATTTGAAAATATCTGCACAACACAGCTGGCTGTGTCTCGACCTCTAGTTCTTGCGGAAAGAAGCTCCGGCGCTGTTTGAGTGTGCGGATAGCACGAGGGTTTACTCTAGGTCCTTCCTTCCCCACAATCAAAAGGGCCGATTCGACATCGCGGTGCACAGGTCCATCAGACCCAACGATAGCATGTTCGACGATATCCTCGCGCCGTTTAATCGCGTGGATGGCGTTAGCATCAGCTACTTCCTCTGAGTTCAACCGTCAGCAACAATGAATGCTGCGTGTGTAAAAGGCACCCACCGGTCGATCGGGCTTTGCGACGTAGAGGGTCTTGTCCTAGGGCTCAGTCGGCGCGGAGAAGCCCAAAAGGGTCACATGGTCATCAGGCAAAGAAGTGAGGTCTGTATATGCGCATCAACCTGGCAAATGAAGAGGGTAAATGTTAGGGATTGACACGTCGAGACATGACGGCAGTGGCAGGGCAAAGACCAAGAGAGGCCAGAGAAGAAGCGCCGATGGAAGGTAGAGGGCGGAACGCATTGTGAGGGTCAATAAAGAGGCGAGTCGACGTAGCTTCTGACTTTTGAAGCAGCTGGGAGGCAAGGTGATTGCTTGAGGATCCTTGGGTATAGCTCACGTACTTTATTCACGTGGATTATGAAGGCATCGGGGGTTGACGATGCTTGGAGATCGGTCGAAAACTTTAATCGGGCGTCTTGGGACGGCATTGATGGCCGATGATGTGGGCTTCTTTCGTGCGGCGTGCGCATATCGAGTATTTGATTCGTATGCCTTGTGGCTGCATCAACAATCGACAATGTCGATTTCTCTCGTGAGGCGGCGTGTGCATTTCATGTGTTTCAATTTATGCAAACAATCCTTCCGCTTCATACGTGATGGCCCCCAACATGGATGTTTCACAGCCCCATACACGCCGCAGCGAATGTACCCGCATACCACCCGGAAGAAAATCTGCTCAGCCTTTCGATGAGGGTACCTTCGCCGTAAGAATGCATGCTTGAAGAGAGTAGAAAACCTTTGGCTCGGTTCCGACGCAAGAGAGCTTTGTTATTTCCCTAACGCTTACCCAGCTCCCACGGACACCACATGGATCTTGTAGGATCAGAAGAGCCGACTTTAAAGCAGCGAATTGATGTTTGGTAAGCCTATCCTTTCCCATTACAGTACTCGCACTCTGAAACGGAACCTCCTCGGAATGAGTCTCGAACTTCGCTTGCTGGAGGACCAGTATGGCAGGACGAACGGTGACCCACGTCAGATTCTCAGATCCCCTGAATTGACCATGGTACATACTGGCAGCGCTTTGGCTCTCAAAAGAAGGGCACAGCCTCGGTGCTCACTCATCCACTGTGCACATTCTCCATTCTGACCGTGGTGCTGGACAGAGAGTGACAGCCGGCTCTTCACAATGGTTGTGGCTTTCAGCTGCTTTTCTTCGGAGCTGAAACATCTACTGCGTCTTGTGGACAAGAGAGTGGGCGTCGTAAGACCCTACTTTCAGCCGTTGTTCATGCATGACTTCGTTTTCCGTTGGGAGTGAGGGCTGACTGTTCCTCTGGCCCCACCTGCCTCGGATTGCAGGGGCTGGCACAATGCAGAGATCGAGAGTATGTTTTCACTGTCTCAATATGCATTACTGCGACACTGTAATTGAGCGTTTGGACCTGACGCCTTCTGAAAAGCCGAGAGCGATCCTGTGGCCGCACTGCGTTCATTGAATGTGCAGGTCAAAAGCCCACAGCGATACCGTCATGCATGCTCGCTCGTATGGCCGCGATCGTAATGAATATCTAGTATCCTAGAAGTCTCCTGTTTCCTTCATTTAAGGCCTGTACTTCTCAATCCGCAGTGGTCTCGCATTGCATTCACCATGGGTGAAACACAGGGAAAAATGTACCCGCTGGCGACAGTGTTGACCCTACTGGCGGCCGTAGCTGTTCTGCTTCGCCTTCATGCTAGAGAGATTAAGAATGCGGTCCTTGCATGGGACGACTACCTGATTCTTTTCGCACTGGTAGATCGGGTCCAACGAGTGGCGCATCTGTCTTGCGATTGACAAAATGACAAAGGTAGATCCAGCTTTTCACGACTGGTACCGCATTGTGTATGTTCGTTGGTCGGTACTCGACCTCAGAGATTCGGTTGGCTGTGGGCTGATTCCGAGATACAGGAACCGCACTTGGGGATCTAGGACGACACACAAAGATCGCATCAGATGGATCACTCGTTTTTACCCATCTTTAGAGGTCTTCCAACAGGTAAGACCTTTCTCCAGTCTTCCTGTCTGTTGCATCTCCAACGGTGGTGTCTAGATTAATTATGCTTCACTGATGACCTCAACATTGACGTTCGCCCTGACGAAGTTGTCAGTGCTTCTTCTTTACAAGAGGTAGATCTATCTCATGGACGTTCGCAAGAATAAGTTACTCACAAAAGCTGCAAGGATCTTCCGCGGTGCTTTGTTCTTGGCCCTCGTCTGGACCATGATCACAATCATTGTGACATGGACCGTTGGCTTCTTCTTCGCGACTATGCTCCATTACTACCCAATATCAAAGAATCGGACTGGCTTTGGAGGCACTGCTGACACTTACATCGATGAAAACATGATGTACATTGGACAAGCGTTCTCAGACGCTATCACAGACCTCATGATCCTTGTAATGCCCATCCCTTGGGTAAGCCTTCCTATATCTCCCCTTTAGACTCGGGCTGATTGCCACCTAGATCTGGGCGTTTCAGCTGCCAGCAAAACAGAAAATCGGCGTGAGTGGCGTGTTTCTGCTGGGAATATTGTAAACCTCTTTTGCACGCATTTAGGAAGTCAATGCTTACACACTAAAGGACCATTGCGGCAAGCGTTACGAAGCTCATGTTTTTCTTAAGATTGCTGTCGGTAAGCTTTTCTTCATGATCTCATCAGAAATGGAAGGCCACTAACGACCTTCAACCTCAAGAGTCCAATCTGGTGACGAGGATTTTACTTGTATGAATATCTGCAATCCCAACAGTAACGACCTTGGCTTACCCATTGACGAAAAGGTCTGTTTACCCCAACTCTGTACTGGCTAATGATGGAATCTTCGCCCGGGATCATTGGGGCCTGCTTGCCTTTGTTTCGCCCCATCATCAGTGAACTTTTCCTAGTCCGAAGCATTCGAGAAATCATTTCCTTTCCGTCCACAGGCATTACAAGCTCGAAAAAGCCCCTGAGGGATGCTGGAAACCTGGAGGATCGCGACAACAGCTCTTCTGCGGTTAGCTCCGAAGGCTCCATATATGCTGGCGAAGACCATAACGGGTAAGCCATCTAGGCAGAAGATCTTATCTTTTCCATCGCTAACTGTAATGTTGTGACCAGGGGTCAATATCTTGGTCGCGATCAAGTCTATGTACTCAAAAAGACACTCGAGAAGGTTGTCGATGTCGGTACCAAAAGGAACGCAGTAGAGCAACGCTACCATGCAAGCGGGTACATTTGAAGGAAAAGGAACGCAACAGACGCGAACGTTGGGGGGGGGGAAGAGGGAATTCTCGAATAGATCTTATAGATTACAGATTTTGCGCAGAGAAAGTATGCCGGGCACCTTCAGAACATGCCATCATCTGTTTTCAAAGCCACTCCATCTCACCGTTTTTCAAATTTTCTTCTTCGAATTTGGACTCTTATGCTTATTCCTCTCCTCACCTTTGCTCTCACCATTCGCCGTCTTCTCCTTCCTTGCCCTATGACTCTCCACCTCTTGCCCTTCTTTCCTCTCAGCATACCACTGCCCGGCTTGCAGCACTAGCACTCCAACCAGTACGAGCGCCAATATAGTATTGCTAGCTGCCATCACTTTCAAACTGTCATCTCTCCCGAGAAACTCCTCTGCTCCCGCTTCCACACCTTTCACGCCAACAGCTAGCTCCCCTTCAACAAGCTCGCGGTCGTATACACCGCTGGTAACGACCCTCAGGCCTTTGACAATGTTGGCAAGGTATATAATCACACCGCACATGTACAGTACCAGGCTGGCGCCGTCGAAGAGCATATTGGATTCCGAGGGCCTGTAAAGCTTAATGAAGAAACCTAGGAGGCCTGTTCCGATGACCGTGTGGAGGATACGGGGGATTATGAGCGGAGAAGCGTGCAGGAATTTCAGGTGGTTCTCGAGCCTGACGTAGGCTTCAGGCGGACATGCGGCTGGGTTCCATAGGATGGGGTAGTCGTAGGGGAAGAGGGAGAAGAGGATGCCGAGGCCAAAACATGTCGCTAGTCAATAAATTCAGCGGTATTCATCATATGCATCGGTAACGAGTTAGATGATACGCACGACAGAGAATCATAAAGGTTGCAAAAGCCGTTGCGCCATGGCTTCCCCAGGCCATATCTCTGCTGGACTGTCAGGGACGGTGCGCACCGCGTAGTAGTCGAGGTGTACAACCAATCTCGGGCGGAGTACGAAGTAGATGTAATCAAGTACGATCGGGTAGGGTCCCACGAGTTATCTTGATATCGTTCGCTGCAGATGCTGCTTATCAGGCAACTGCTGAATGTGTGTGAGGAATCTTTTTCTGCGAAATATCTTTCCACAATTGGAACAGCTTAGGGTATCAGGATCACTTCGTTCAAGGTCTCTCGAGGTAATTGTAGTGACTGCTCCAAGTTATCTTGGAGAATGAGAAGGAAAGAGGCCTGCAAGAGGGTTGTCAGCAAGTGCATTAGGGCTTGGCTTCACAGTGAATTACCGTGTACGGCAAGGCGGCTACGCTAGTCCTTCATTAGGTAAAGTGTAATCTAACAGAATATCAACGACTATTTAAACCTCTCGATATTCCTCGCTATCTTTCTACTATATTTATTACTAGATATTACTCTACTCGAGATTCTTCTTCTTAGACTCTACGCTATATAAATCTTATATATAATATATTCTACTCTTAATTAAAAATATTATCGACTTATTAGAAATATATCTTTATTATAGAGTTAATATAAAAGAAAGAGTATATTATATAGCTCTCTATTAACTAATATATAATATTAAGATATTATTTTAAAACGACTTTATTTATAATAGTTAAGTCTTTATAATTATAACGATATAAAATTTACTTTCTATTAGACGTAGCTAAAATAAAAGACGAGGTCGAGTTATTAATTTATTATTATTATTATAAAACTAATATAAAAGAAAGATTATATTATATAATTCTCTACTAGCTAATATATAACTCGAAGATATTATTTAAAACGACTTTATTTATAATAGTTAAGACTTTATAATTACTAGCGATATAATATATCTCTTTTATTTTAAATAAGTTATATATATCTACTTATCTACTTATCTCTATCGAACTTTTTTTATCTCTATCGAGCTATAAGTCTCTAAAACTTCTTTTTATAAGATTAAATCTTTATCTTTAATATTATTATTATAATTAATAACGATAACTCTTTATATTAAGAATCTCTATTTTAAAGATATTATTATTTAATTTAATAATCTCTGTTACGAGCGTACTCTTAATATATTACTTAGCCCTCAGCTCTATAACTAGCGGGCCTTGACGGAGATATCCCCTATTATATTATATCTCCTTTCTATCTACATAGTTAGATAGCCTTATTATTCTTAATCTATCTTACTTATACTAGTATCGCATCTATACTAGTTCTAATAATCTCAACGATAGAATTTATAATAAACGATTAAGAATTCTCGTATAGCGCTTATTAAGCTTAAGATAAAATATATTAACTATTAAGAGAGTATAATAAAGATATTAAGTTTTATAAAAAAGATAATATAAACGACTTTAACGAGATAGATAGCGAATAATAAGATATATAATAGCTATTAAACTAGTCTTAATCGCGCTTTTTATAAGATATTAAAGAGATCTTTATTTAATATCGTTTTTTAAAAGAAATTTTTAAAAGATAATTATTCAATAGAGTAATCGCTTATGAAAATAGATTTTATTAATTTTATAAAAAATAAATCGATATCTTAATTATATTTTCATTTATTTTAATATTAAAAGCGATTTAAAAGTTACGCTTTTTAATATTAAGTTCTAAATCTACTATTATATAACGAGTTTAAATCTATAAATTAAATTTATAATCTATATTCTTTTAATTTAGAACTATCGAGTAAATTTAATAAGCGAACTTTAATAAGTAATATTTAAATTCTTTATCTTTAAATACTTATAAGACTAAATTTTTAAATTTATACGTTATTAAAATACGTAATTTACGCTTTATAATTTAAAAAAAGAATTAATTTTTTTTTAATAAAAAATTAAAAAAGTTATTTCAAATTTAAATAATATATATTAATTTTTTATTATTTAGAGCTGTCGAGTAAATTTAATAAGCGAACTTTAGTAAACGATATTTAAATTCTATATATTTAAAAACTATAAGATCGAATTCTATAATTTTTCTATATTTAAAAAGCGTAATTTACGATCTATAATTTAAAAATAAAATTATTAAATTTTGATAGAAGATAGTAAAATTATTAAATAATTAAAAATAGAGAAAGAGATTTTAATAGTTACGAACGCTAATTCATTTATTCGTAATATCTAATTAAAAAGCGTAGCGAATCCAAATTTATAATTAACTATATATATAAATTTAAGATTTTTTAGCTTAGCCCTATCTTATTCTATTATATAAACTAATTTAAGAAATTCTTAAAAAAATCTATCGGCGTCAAGCTTCGTGGAATAGAATTCTTTAAATTTGATATACTCAACGCGTTATTTTTTATTGAAAATCCTTATGAAAAAAATTGCTAAACCTCCTCCCTATTAAGGTTTCCAAAGAGGCGAGTCCGTTGCGCGACCTTCTGGCGATCCTTAGACGTCTTCAATCGGTTTGAACGCTGGTAAGAGAAGACGACGAATCAATCAAGTCGGTCCGAAATTTACGTACCTACGCAAATCGTGCATCGTTTACTGGAATTGGGGTTCGACATTTCAAAGTCAGCACTTGCAAAGTGTAAGCACAGCGCGCTTTCCTGATCGGGCAGGTGCTTGGCAATCGCGAGATACGATCGATGTGATCGCTGCAGGAACGGAAAACCTGCATGCTCGGGCAAGAAACCCCGCGGATTTAGTGAGGGGATACCTGTTATCACTAGGAAACGCAGTTTACTAGGAAATGCAGTTTTTTTAAATCCGATAAATCCGGCGCAACATTAAAATATCTACTTCTCACTAAAATTCTATAGTAACTAGGTTTAATAATAATATATATTTTACGATCTACCTATATAGATATATAGCTACTTCTATAAATTAAATTTATTATAGTAAATAAGTTTAATTACTATAGAGTAAGTATTAGTATTAAATATAATATTTACTCGCTAATAGCTAAGCGAGCTTTTTCGTCTCTAGCTAATCTATTATCTCTTATTTAAAATCATTTAATCTTAAACTCGAATAATAGATAATAGTATATATTAATTATAATATATATAAGTATAAAGCTTCTATAATTACTATAAAGTTATTATTACTAATTAAGAAGTAAGCTATAATTAAAATAAATAGTTCTAAATTCTTTTATTAACTATTATTTAGTCAGTAATAAACTAATTTATATTATTTAAATTCTAAACTATACTATAGAATACACCCTACGGTTTATACTCTTTAGAATATAGATTTCAATGCGTTAAGATAAGCCAGGCCATATTATCGTGGAAAGTAGGCGTTTTGATATTACGTCGGATTTATCGGATTTAAAAAAACTGCATTTCCTAGTAAACTGCGTTTCCTAGTGATAACAGGTAGCCGACTGCGAAGCTCCGAGACAAGTGTGTCTATGGCTTCTAGATTCACAAATTGCGTTCAGACAACATATTCGGCCTCTGTGCTTCATTTTACTCGTCTCGGAACACTAGATCCCCCTGACAGTCGTTTGAGCTCTGTGAAGTGTCACCACCATGGATCCACTAAGCTTGAGTGCCAGCATCATCGCCGTGCTACAGCTTACTGGAATGTTACTGTCGTACATAAATGATATGCAGAATGCGACGAAAGATCAAGCACAATTAGCAGTAGAGGTCTCAAACATCTACAGTCTCCTCATATCTCTCAGGTTTCGGGTAGAGCAGTCTAATTGTCACGATCCGTGGTTCACGGCTGTACGCAGCCTGGGAATAGAAGATGGACCTCTTGAACAGATAAGGAGGGCTCTACAGCGATTAGTACCAGAGGTTGAACCATCCCGCGGCATGAAGAAGCTAGGAAAGCAGCTTATGTGGAAGTTTGAGAAGTCTGAGATGGGTGATATTCTGGACCAAATCGAACGAATCAAAACACTTGTCAGCATTGCTCTCACCGATGACCTTTTCAGTCTTTCCCAAGCCATGAAACAAGAGCTCAGTGCCATAGGTAAAAGAGTGTCTGGGATCAATGATGGAGTCATAGCACTTCATGACCGTCAGCAGAGAATAAGCGAGGGTGTTTCGGATATTAGTGTTGGTGTGACTTTCCTCAATCTAGGACAGCAAGAGGAGGAGCGTCGCAAGATTGAAGAATGGCTGTCTCCAATAAACTTCAAGTCTAGACAACAAGAGATCTTGAAAGGTGCGGAACCTGGCACCCGCCAATGGCTCTTCAATTCCGAGAAGTTCCGAAATTGGATCGACGCAGGTCGAGGTAGTCTATGGTGTCCTGGGATACCTGGTGCGGGCAAGACAGTTACCTCGTCACTCATCATCGATCACTTGCAATCAAAGTACCAAACAGGAGATGTTGCAGTGCTTTGCCTGTTGTGCAACTACAGAGATCGAGCGGCCCAAAGTGCAGAAACTTTCATGGCGAATTTGTTGAAGCAAGCCATACAACAGAAACGGATCCTCTCACCGGAGCTCAAAAACATGTACGATGAGCGCGATCAGGGTCGGCCAAATTTTACCAAATTAGCAGAGTTGTTCAGTCACGAAAGTAGTTACTTTTCCAAGGCGTTCGTCCTGATAGATGCTCTGGATGAGACTTCAGAGCATGAAGACATTAGAAGGCTTCTGCTATCGGAGCTTCAAAGACTACCGATAAATCTGCTGGTAACGTCACGGTACGAAAAGTCGATCGAGCAACGGCTTGAGAAAGCCGAGCGTCTGGATATATGGGCCATGGCTGCGGATGTTCAAACCTACGTAAAAGCTCGAATCCCTTCTGAAACCTTACTCGCACGGCATATCCAAGCAGATCCAAGCTTGGAGAAGACTATTGTGGATAAGATAGTGGAAAAGTCGCAAGGGATGTATGTTTTGCGTCCCACTCACCCTTGGATTCACGTTGGTACACTCTCGATCGTTGCTAAGACCTTCACATTTGCCTGTAAATACCTTGCATTTTCCTCAACTGTGTTTGCAGATGACTGCTTTTGGACCTGATCAATAGATCTATTTGACTAGCATCTAGCTGTTTCCGAACAGAGCTTGCTGCTAGATTGTTGATATATCGAGATGTCTCTCACCATCTGTCAAGGCTTCTCTGCGGTCACAAAGTTAACTTTTTTCCAGGTTCATTATGGCTAGATTCCACATGGATTCCCTTGTGACTAAGACCAAGCGTAAAGATGTTCGCAAAGCCCTGGAAAGCCTGCCACCAGAACTGGATGGGATATATGAGCAGACGATTGAACGGATTGAAGGCCAAGGCAAGGATTACTCAGAACTGGCCAAAAGAGTCTTCCTCTGGGTTGCAAATGCCCATCGGCCACTGTCGCCGGTCGAGCTGCAACACGCGGTTGCTGTCCAGCCTGGTATGACCGAGCTAGACGACGAAGATCTAGACGACCAAGACCTGTTGGTCTCAGTCTGCGCCGGTCTTGTAGTTCTTGATGCAGAGACTCATACACTTCGCTTCACCCGTAAGTTCTATCGTCGCTCATACTTTCCTTCGCGACACAAGGCTCGTTTGTTTGGCGCTGGTGCGTGTAACCCGCTGGCCTGTCACGATTTCGAAGACAGAGTAGCGATTTGCGTATTCTATGACCACCAGGTCCGGAGGTATAATTCAGTCGGGCGTTGATCATTTAGACTGGATCAAAATTAGGGCTGCTAACAGGTCTTTTCGCAAATACAGAGCTCTGTGTGATGATTGCTAATCAACCGTACTATCAGATTACACCACGCAGGAGTACTTCGACCGCAAAGGAGAGAGCCTTTTCGGGGATGCCCACGCTCACATCGCAACGACCTGTGTAACATATCTGGATTTTGTAGACTCGCCCTTGGACGATGACGGGTTACAAATAGCCGGCCATGGTCCTTTTCTCAAACTCAGAGAACTGTCCAGTCACTACCGCCTGATGCGCTACGCAAGCACAGAATGGGCAGATCATGCTCGAAGAACAGCAAATGCACTTGCTGTAGATACAGTGATAAATTTCTTGAATAAACCAAACCACGTGATTATAGATGATATTCTCGAATACCGTGGCAATATCTCCGAGAACAATCCTAGTGATGATTTATCGCTTCGACCTTCAGCTCTACACATAGCCGCCATATATGGATTACAATACGTGGCGCAAGAACTACTCGATGAGGGCGCTCCACCAGAATGTCGCGACTTCTATGGACGAACCCCTTTGTATTTCGCGGCCATGTTTGGTGAACCGCGCATTGTGGAAATGCTGGTAGCGAGAGATGACGTCAATATCAATACTCAAACGAATCTGCCTTGGTCATGGACACCTCTAATTGTGGCAGTATCTCACAACCGATTGGAGATCGTACGAGCCCTGCTGCAAGGCGGAGCTGATGTGAGCCTTCGTTCAAAGGATGGTACAGCATTGACTCTCGCGATCCGGAACGGGGATGTAGCCAGTACCAAGCTTTTGCTTGAAGCTGGAGCCAGCCCTGATACTCGAGATGAGAACAACAATCCTATGATATTCAGGGTATTTCAAGCGGCCAACTTTTGGTCGGGTACAGACGGGATGTCTTCCTCAGTACTACTCATGGAGCTCCTGCAAAAACACGGGTCTGATCTCAAAGCCAAAGACAAATCACAAAGGACCCTTCTGCACATGGCAGCCGAGCAAGGCGATTTCAAAGCTGCACAAGTGCTACTTGCTAAAGGCCTTGATCGCAAAGCTGTCGACCTCGACGGTCAAACGCCACTGGATAAAGCTCTCGGCTGCGGACCACCGACTTATATCCATAAAACTGCTCACTATAAATTCGAGGCATGGCGTGCTACCATCGTAGAACTACTATCCGAAAAGGAGTCAGGGGTTGATAGTATTGACGGTTCTTGTGACGCCCCAACAGCGAGCTCGCAATGAGCACGATGGATACCTGGCCAAGGTTTCTACCCTGAGAGAATGGAGGGTGAAGATCACACCACCTCTGAAGGTTCAAGCGAGCCAAAGGAGGAGCCCGAGCTTTCGCGGATACCAGAATCTCGTCAGCCCCCTCTCCACAATATATAAATACTACAGTGACTCGATCTGAGCTTTTCCAACTGAAGTGGTATAATTCTATGAGAGGTACATATGGAGCATAGTTTCTTATACACGGTTTCATGAGTAGACAGGTTTAGCAACGAATTTCAAAAGAATAATTTACAGCGAGATCAGCCCTAAATATCTATTTTTTAATTAGAGCTATCGATAAATTTAGTAAGCGAACTTTAATAAACGATATTTAAGCTTCTTACTTTTTAATAATTATAAAACGGAATTTAAAATTCTTTTAGCGTTGAAAAGCGCAAATTACACTCTATAATTTGAAAAAAAAATCTTGAAATTTTAATAGAAAATAAAAAAGTTATTCTATTTATAAATAACGTATATCTATTTTTTAATAAGAGGTTTTAAAATAATTAGCGAGCTAACTTAGTCGATCTAATTAAAGAGTATAGCGAACTCGAATTTATAACTAACTATATATATAAATTTAAGATTTTTTAGCTTAACTCTATCTTATTCTTTTATATATATTAATTAAGATTCTATATTATATTAGATATAATAGAATATAAAAATATTATATTATACGAGTAAAGGTCTATAAATTAAATTTATAATTAAATTTTTAATTAGAGCTATCGAGTAAATAGATAAGTAAACTTTAATAAGCGATATTTGAATTCCTTACGCTTTAATAGTTATAAGACTAAATTTAAAAAAAGAAATTTTTAAAAGCTTATATTTCGTTCTATAATTTAAAAAAAAATCTTAAAATTTTAATAGAAAATAAAAAAGTTATTCTAAAATTAAATAATGTGTATCTGTTTTTTAATTAGAGCTGTTCGACTATCGAGCGAATTTTAATAAGCGATATTTGAATTACTTGCGCTTTAATAATTATAAGATCGAATTTCCTAATTTTTTTAATATTAAAAAGCGTAATTTACGGGCTATAATTTAAAAAAATAATCTTAAAATTTTAATAGAAAATAGTAAAGTTATTAAAGGGTTAAAAGTAAGGGTAAGAGATTTTGATGATTATAGACGCTAATTTATTTATCCGCGATAACTCAGTCGGTCTAGTTAAAAAGCGTAGAGGACTTAAATTTATAATTAACTGTATATACAAATTCAAGGTTTTCAAGCTTAGCTCTATCTTATTCTTTTATATATATTAATTATATCTTTTCGACTAGTAAGTAAACTATTAACTTCGCTATATTTCTTATATAAGTATTATTTTAAATAATAATAAGATTTACGAATTTTAATAATTAGCTAAAAGATCTCTTTATTCTATAAGAAGCGATAGCGAGATTTATTAATATCTCTATAGTAATTCGCTAACTTCGCTATATTCTCTATATAAATTTTATCTTAATAGATAATAATATAAGTAAATTATAATAACTATTTTAAGAGTTTTTTTTACTTTATTCTTTATTCTATTATAAGTAACGAGTAAAGGCCTATAAATTAAATTCATAACCATTTTTTTATTATTAGAGCTATCGAGTAAATTTGATAAGCGAACTTTTAATAGACGATATTTAAATTCTTTGCCTTTAAATTTTTATATAACTAAATTTAATAATTCTTTTTTTATTTAAAAGCCTATGTTATATTCTATAACTTAAAAGAAAAATATCAAAATTATAATAGAAAACAAAAAAGTTATTCTCAAATTAAATAATGTGCACCTGTTTTTTGATCAGGGCTGTCGAGCGAACTTTGGTGAGCGATATTTGAATTCCTTGCGCTTTAATAATTATAAGACTAAATTTAGAAATTCTTTTTTTATCTGAAAGCCCATATTTCGTTCTACAATTTAAAAAGAATATCTCAAAATTTTAATAGAAAATAAAAAAGTTATTCTATGTGTCAATAACGTACACCTATTTTTTTGATGAGGGAGGGCGAGATTTTGATGGTTGCGGACGCTAATTTATTTACCCGCGATGACTCAGCCGGTCTAACCAAAGAGCGTAGCGAACCCGAATTTATGATTGGCTGCACATACAAATTCAAGGTTTTCAAGCTCAGCCCTACCTTATTCTTTTATATATACTGATAGCGAGATCGCTAACGACAATAGCGATATCTCTACGATATCGCGTCTTGTTTTAGAATGGCGTAGCCACCCTGAAACTATGCTAATGGTATTTTTTTTTAGCGTTGGCTGAGGTATAGAAACACCCCTCCTCTGTCACGGTCTCTGTCTCTCCACTTCCTAATAACTCGTATGATCTTATCTCACATGAGCGTTTCATCCCCTTCAAACCGAGACTTATCTCACCGTCACCGAGCCACCCAAAGAAGCCAACTTGGACCCATCTTCCCACCCCCCAACCTCATTCTAGCATACTTCGCCACCGTTAATCTCACCGCGTGCTGGCTTCAACGAAGCGAGTCATTGCAGGTACGAATCATAGAAATGCCTGATTCTTTTAAGCATGTCGATCCTGTGCAATCTTTCAGCCACCATATGGGGCTCTCTGGGATAGAGAACCATGTCACAGCGGTACTTGTGGTGCAAGCAACCTCGATAAAATGCAAAGGCCTGAGATACTGGAACGCGTTCGTCTTTCTCTGAGTGGAGGATAAGGATTGGTGTCTTAATATCCTTCATATGCCAGACAGGGCTAACGTGCCGAGTTTTGAGACAGTCCATTTCCATGTTCCATGGCGCTCCACCTGCTAATTCTTCTTCAACTGCTGGAACGTCCGAAGACATCGTTAACATGTCCCAGTCTGTCACTCCACCACCACAAACAGCAGCAACAAAGCGAAAGGCCGGTCGAGTCACCGAAAGATAGCTTAAGAACCCGCCTTGGGACCATCCACCAATTCCTATCCTATCTCGGTCAAAAGTTCCACGTTCGATACCTGAAAGAACCATCGCAATTATATCACTATAGTCTTTAGTACCCAGAAGACCTCGACCATAGCTCGCAAACTTTTCACCTCGAGCACTCCCACCTCGGTAATTGGGACATAAGACTGCGTAGCCCGCTGCGGCGAGCCACGGCCCCCAATGGAAATATGGAATGTCAAAACCAAATGTGACTCTCGTATGAGGTCCGCCATGAGGTATCACAACTGTTGGCCAAGGTTTTCTACCTCTTTTCGATGGCAACAAGAGCACCCCATCGAGCTCTGTGTTGTCATCCGCCGTTGCGTTGAAGACTTCTGCAGAAGCTATGTCAAGCTTGGTTATGGCTTGTCCGTGTTGCGAGAGCTGGCTCACATTCTGATTCCATATTGAGTAGATCTCTGTGGGGCAATTGGGAGAGCCCTTCCCGAGCACCAAAACCACGTTTCCCTCACCGAGATCTAGGATGTCCCAGGTGATAATCTCGGATATATCATTATAGAATTTCTTAGTATAAAGAACGGTGGCGGAAGAGCAACCTAGTAACAAGATCTGATCCTGGAGGCCTTTCTGAACCTGGACACTAAGAGAAGTCGCAGCCAAGCGCAGATCAACTGCATCAACGCTGTCATCGAGAGCCAATGCAGTCCAACCCTGCCCGTTCTCATCGATGGTGTAGATCCCGCTCACTGTATTGTTCTTGTCTGGCGATATGCCGCCCAGGAAATACATCGAGGACTCGGACCATGTCAAGCTACTGATAGGACCTGGGAAGGTACAAAGCTTCGTTGCGTTACCATTTTCCAGGCACACCTTTTCCAGAATGACTCCTTGATACAAAGCGGAAGATTTGTATTCGGGGGTTGGTTGCAAAACATAAAAAATTTGGTCGGATTTTAGATTCCATGCGAATTCGTTAACGTGAGACGCCTTTTCGAAGAGCGTGAGGGTGGTCTTGGTTCCAACATCGATGCACCGCAGACGACTGTAATCCCAATTCGCATTGTATACGGTTGCGTCGTCTCCAATTGCAAGCTTGCAATCTTCTTTGGCTGTCATCTCGTCTGGACAAAGAAATGCAATATAGCGATCATTCGGGCTCCATTTGAGTGACGATATCTTTTTCTTTTTCTTAGGGTCTGTAAGCGGGACAGGCTCTAACGACGCCTGATCAAGAAGATAGATGGCAGAACATTTTCCTGGCTCTGCCCTGTCGGACACGAATGCTATGGTTTTGCTGTCCCAGGACCAACGTGGAAGCTCATCATTGAAATCCCCTGACGTGATCTGACGTGCTGAATGCTCCTTTCCAACTTCAGCGATCCACAGTGAAGATGTTACACGGTCACCTCGTCTTGATGCAGCGCGCAGACAGTAGACTGCGTTCTTCCCAGACGGTGCCAGTTGAACATCTCCAGGACATTCTAGGTCAACCAAGGCTTCTGGGGTGAGTCCTGTTGGCTGACTATCGACCGTGGGGACCACTCTAGCAGAGTCGCGGCTCAAGGCTGAAACTGGTGCGATGTTATTCGTCGCTCCAGAAGTTGGCGCAGCGTCATTCATGGCTGCTGCAATCTTGGAAACAAACAACGACGTTTTCAACAGCTCTAGAATTGCCTGTGTTTAAAACACAATGCCAGTAGAACAGTCTCGTGTCCCCTAAGACTAAGAGCCAATCAGAGTCCTTCAGTGTACTACCAGTGTAGGACTCATCGTGCTGGTAGGTTTTGCCGTTGGGATAATTACATCAATGACGCATCAACACCTGCTATCTTGATGACCCGCGCTGTTGGGAGGAAACTTCCTATAGCACGACTTTGGAGAACAAAGATCATCATAAACGGGGGTTTTCTACCAACTTCCTTTTCCGAGGAGCTCTCATTGCGGAGCCGTGATTCCTACGATAAAGGTTATCCAATAGATCCCGATATCATGTAGGCAGGTAGCCTCGTCCATAAAGTCCGCGGAAACGTGTGTCTCGGGTATGTATTTAAGGGCTGAAGAGCATCCGGGTCAAGATAACCATCTGGAAGCCCATTGGCTTCCAGAATCTACACATCCATCGCTATAGGCTTTTTGGAATGCACCTCGCGTGGCGTGGGGTGGGATTCGTAAGCGCGGTGGACGGCAGTCATTACTCGGATTCACCCTCTTTGCAATTTCCTGGGAGATCGAATTATGAAGCGTAGAAAAAGGTTCCTGAAGCTTCAAGAGTTCTAAAATCTGTGTCTTATTTTGATAAAGTTCTATGATACCCGCGACTTGTCGTACAATTTTGGTGAGACGTAGATATTTGGGGGTCGGACTTATCGGACATTGTGAAACCGAGTGAGGAAGGGAATCGTACGAGAGGGGGTGGCAAGTTCAGGCTATCGACTGCATTCCGAGCTCAGCAGCCCACCGATGGAATTCAGTGGATTGGTGGTACATGAGACGCGAGGAGTGCCAATTTCGGTTGGGTCCCGGGTCTGTGGACTCCTACACCATCTAGAAAGCCATCACCAATGGTAGAAATGGCGCAACGGACTTCAGAAGTTTTTCTCAGATGGGCATCTGGTCCTGCCGCTATCGTCAGACTGCCATTGACTGCCTTGCCTGCTCAATCACCACCTTGCATGTGGCCTACAACGTAGCGCACGAGGGTAACGTGGTGCATCCACAGACATGGATAGGGAACGCGGCTCTCGCAGCCTGACCCCATGTTCCATCTATAAATGCCTCAGTGGTCTCCCGCCGGATCCATGTCACGGGGCTGGAAAACAACTCCAAATATCACATCAACAGAGACTTACTTACAACATTAATCACAGATCACAGAGTTTGGACTCTAACGGAGCATTATGTCTGATGTAAATCAAATGACAACGTCCAAAGTAATTGAGGCTAATGGAAACAAGGTCTCATGCAAGGCAAATGGCCCCGAAGATGGGAGCAACAGCTGTATCGAGCCTGACTGTGACCCAGATGAGCCTCTAGAGGAGGTTACTTGTGCTTGCGGTCATGGCTATTTCAACGCAGACAAGAGATGGGTCTCAGGTTACGAAGTACGTTCAGGCCTGGCACCACCAAAGCCGTCGCGTGATGAGGAACCGAACCACAAGGTACAGTCACTTATAATTTTCGAAACCGCATTTCCACTAATGTCGCCAGTCTTCTCCTCCAATATCCTGTTTTGGATGAATGACATGGGCATGATCTTGGAGAAATACGAATCGGGGGGTTTTAGGGGGGTCTGGAAATGGGGTTCTTTTGCTGCATACATTTTAATCGTGGGTCCACTCCTCACTCGCTTGTAAGCGAGGGGTGGGACCACGATATGGCCGTGTTCAGCTGAGGTAGTGCTTGTTGAAATCTTTTTGTAGAATAATAATAGGCCAGGATCGAGGTATTGATGTATCACTATGACACGTAATGTCTACCGTCAGCGGACTTTCCATCATAGTGCGTTCTGACAGCATTGTGCATCATATTTCTGAGCGTTATTGGCTAGATGTGTGCCTACCCAACTAGAGATCTACTTGGGAACTCTTAGCCAGGCAAGGGGTTTTCAATTGGTCACATACTGACACCCATCATCCAATAGGAAAACCAATTATCTGCGCCCCGCAAGGCTGGTTCAACTGACGTCGACATATGCCTCAGTTCAAGCGTAAGCAACAGTAGCAAAACAAACCGGGAAATGGGGGCTTTGGAGAAAAAAGCCAGTATGGCGAGCAGCACAAATGAAGCAAGCTTGCGAAAAGATCCCATATTGATAAATATCGATGCTTCACAACAACAAAGCCAGGGGACCCAGTCAGCTCTTGTAGCCCCGATCAAGACTGAAGCAGCAGCTGCTGAAGCCCGTTGCTGGGAGAAAGCGGTCGAGGTAATCACTCTGATAAGAACCAAGAAGCTTGACAGCTTACTCTTCCAGATTTTTAACTTCACGTTAACAAGAGATGACAAGAAGCGTATAGACACCAAGACAATGGGGGAGCATCCCACAAGTAGCCTTAAGACCCTACTGGAATCAGCAACGCAAGCAAAGGAGGCGTCCGATGCCAGCGGCAGCACTTTCAGAAAAAAGGCAGAGCACTTCGTGACCGTGTTCCATGACTATGCAACCTGCGTTGACGCTATGATACAACAATCGCCAGAGATCACGTCCGTGGTGTGGGGCTCGATCAGATTCCTGATGGGTGTAGGTTAAGACGCGTATTCACTTGGTATCAACATTGGCTTATAAGTATCTAGGTTGCGGTAAAGGAAATACAGAACCGTGACATCTTAAGCACTGCAATAGTAGCTTTGGCAAAACGCATTGGACGTTGGGCGGAGTACTTGCATATTTTCCCCACACATGGTCGAGTCCAAGACGCGATAGCCGAGATATTCGCTCAAGTCCTCAATTATCTTATTAGAGCGAGATACCACTATTCGAAATCGTGGGTTGGTTAGTAACGCACCACAGTCTTTCAGTGTCATCTGACTAACGTTTTAGTGCGTTATGCAAAAACGGGGTTCACCCTTATTAACCGCAAGTTCGCGAGTATACTGGCTTCGATTGAAAGTGACTCTGAGACACTTGAACGAGAAGTTAATGCCGCACATTACCTAGATCATACCCTTGATCGAGATGGTAAGGTTTCAACGTGGCCTTCTGTACTTTCTACTGATCAAATTGGATCCCAGCTCAAAAGGCGCGAACGTTGATCGAAGATGCCGAGTTCGCCAAGCAGGAAGGATTCCGAACAGGTATGCCCGCACATCCATGACGGACCAATGAGTGAATGTTCAGAGTGATGGGCGAATAACATTTTCTAAGAGTCCCGTGCCCTGCATAAATGCATTGAGGATGTCTTGCCGACGCAAGGGCATACATCCGTTACACTCCGGGAACGACTTGAAGACACCCTGTCCACTATGTCTTGTACATTCCGTGAACGTCTGGAAAACATTCTGTCGATACAAGAAAGCACTTCTGTCGGCTTTCGCCAGACTCTTGAAGAGAGTCTGTCAAAGCAAGACAGGACGTACAGCATGGCTCAACGTAGGTCTAATATGAATACCAACGGCTTCAGTGTACTGACATGGAGTCAAGACATAAGTGACGTGTTTCACAATACAACAATGGCATACTGGCAAGAGCAAGAAGGTAATTACATGCCACACCAATCCATGTTCACCATACTGTTGCAAGTGCAATTCTGATAGGTATCGCAGCCAAGGCTCGCACAGATCTCGCGAGTCGAGCCCTAGCATGGCTGCAACTAGGATCTCGGGCCTCAGACTCTACACCCAGGTGGGAGAAGGGAACTTGCGAGTGGATTTTTCAGCACCCGGCCTTCGAAACCTGGTCTGCGGAGAATTACAGGAGACCGCTGTGGATATCGGGGATACCAGGTTTGCTGTTTGAGGCGGCCCTAACATCAATAGAATACTGACAGCTCTAGGTTGTGGGAAATCAGTCATGGCACGATTCCTGGCTGCAAACGCCACTACTAATATTACTCTCACCCATTTCTTTCAAAGCTCAGTGGATTTAAGCTCATCGCGAGCGACTGCTCTTGTCATCTCCATGCTTTCCCAGATCTTGGAAAGCGATATTACACGCTCACAACCGGATCTCAAACCAGCCCTTACCAGCATCGTCCCATTGTTTGACCATTTCAGATGCGGACAGGACTGTCCATTCTTGCGATTATGGCCAGTATTGGAAACAGTCCTTTCCAACATGCCAGATTACACTTTAATAGTTGACGCACTGGATGAGTGCAACGATCCAGAAAACAACGATCCTCTGATCCAGCGCTTACTCCTTTTGGGGTCAATGGCCAATTCTCGCATCATATTCCTCTCCCGCTTCCACGCGAGGTTTGAGGGACCGCTCAGAGTCTCTGTGAATCTGGCTATGGACTCGTCGACAGTGGGTGCAGACATCATACAGTTTGTCCGACAAGAGATATCCCGAGATGCCCGACTTCAGCCGCTTCAGTCCCAGATCCTTGCAAAAGTTGAAGACTCGAGTCAAGGAATGTTCCTGTGGGCAAAACTTATGCTTGACGATTTGAGCCGTGCGCCGAGCAACAACGTCCAGGCCCGTCGTCTTGCAGGCTTTCCCAGAGGTTTAGACAGTGTCTATACCGAGTATCTGCGCGAGGGAACCGAGACACTGCGCCCCGAAGAGCTCGCTTTACGACGTGAGATTTTTATTATCCTGGTCGGAGCTGTGCGTCCACTCACGGTGGATGAAGTATCGTGTGCAATTGCTTTGAAGCCATCTTGCCAACTTGATGAGAATGATCTGCTCTTAGACCCGAAGCACGAAATTCTGCGACTGTGCTGGCCATTAGCAATGGTCACCGGAGATTTTGTGCAACTGATACATATGTCTGTCAAAGAATTCCTCCTGTGGCCATCAGAAGAGGCGACAGAGATGCAAGGAAGGCTTAACCTGACAACCGGGGAATCAAACATTTACCTTGCTCGAAAATGCCTCAGTAAGCTGAGTCAAGAGACCTGTGGATCGCTTCACCGAATCGGAGCCATGATCCAGAAAAACGCGTTCTCAAGCACAGCGGCGGCAGCACTCGAAAACTTCGAGTGTTACAAGAATAGTGTATTTTATGAATACGCCTCCTTGGGTTGGCATCATCATCTGACATCAGTCCCCAACCCCAAGATCGCCGATTTGGTTCAATTGCGAGACTTTCTGCAGGATAACTATTTCGTGTACTGGGCGGAAGCGCTATACGAGTGGAAGTCTCAGGACGACATGGGCCCAGCATTGGAGGTGAGAGCCTCGATTCAGTCTTGGCTTGCTCTACTTCCATCAAAGCTCAGAGAATTGGCGCCAGTGGATTCATATTTCATTGCAGCCTATGAGTCTGTTCGTCAGCAATATGACGTTGCTGATGAGTATGATAAGAGTCTCCCGTTCTTATGCCTCTTCCGTTTGGGAGAATATGCGAACCTTGGTGACACGCCAGAGAAGTCATACATGTTTTATCGGCTATTGGCCCGAGGCCTCAAGGATACTTTTGGTGCTGAGAACCCTCTGACAATGAAAGCCACCTATCATCTAGCAAGAGAGCTCCTCTCACAAGGCAACATGCTAGAAGGGGAACGTTTGCTTTCTACAAACGGAGAGATGCAAGATCAAGTCTTGGGTCCGGACCATCCGGATCACGTCATGAGCCTAGAATACATCAGCTATGCCCAGTGGCAAATCAACAGATATGAAGAATCCGCACGAGGCCAAGCGAAGGCACAAGCGGGGCTGCAACGCCTATGGGGTCCCTTGAAAAAAGAGGTCCTGAAGAGCAAACTATTTCTGGGATACGCTCTACAAGCCCAACGAAAGCTTGAGGAAGCGTTGGATATTTTTGATGACATATGGAAGATTTGGCTGCCGGTAATGGGACCGGACAACCCCCTTTCTCTAATGGCGCAGTGCTCCATGGGTGCCATCTATCGAAAACGAAGAATGTACCAAAGAGCGAAGCAGCACCTGACTGCAAACTTCGCGGCCCGACAGCGCGTGTTTTCGCTCAAACTTGCCGTGACAATTGACTCCGGCCTCCAGCTGGCACTTCTGTACCGGGAGACTCGGTGTCTAGAAGAGGCCAAAGGGCTATTAGACCTCATTTCTTCCTCAGGGACCATAGACCAATGGTTCGAGCGTGTGTGTCAGGTGTCACACATACAAGCTTTACTGTGCATGGACCGGGGGAACGCTGAAGGTGCCGTGGAAACACTCAGAGCTATCCTCATCGCCGCGAGCGCTAAAGGCCGTGAGGCGAACAATCGCGAACTCCTCTGGGTGCGGCTCACCTTGGCGGATCTTTTGCGTTTGCAAAACTGCTACGACGAAGCCTTGCTGCTTTTTTCGAACCTTGTTAGGCATCAGGAGGTGGAGGCTAGCGACTCACGGCCCTTGAAGAAGGCGGACTCCGAGTCTCGACCACAATTGGAAATAGCAGAGCGGGCGCTGAGGTTGATTAGAGATGCGGATACCCAGGCGGCTGAGAACCTTTTGGAGAAGAATGAGTTAGAATGGGTACGGCCACAAGATTTCTGGATTATATTTGGCGGCGAAATCACAGACACCGCATGGATCAATGACCCGGTAATGGAGACTGCTTAGAATAGAATCCTTATTATCTAACACCATCCTCATTTTATCTTGTAGTTCGAAACAAGTGGCGATTAAATTGGGGAGTGTTGAAACAGAAAAGGTCCTGCTCTGATCTTTATTCGTGGCCAACTTCGATGTGCACTTCATAGCAAAGACTTGCGCTAGAAGATTAGTATCACTCTTCAGCATTGATCTTGTAGTTGCTGGTGACCAGAGAGAATAAGAAAGACACCAAGACGTTGACACAGATGAAAGCTACGCACGCGAATTAGCCCGGATCGGCAACGGATATGCATACACACTGAAACCATCACTTATTCCCTTTACGTAGGACTCTCGTACCGCTACCTGGATATAAGGCGGCAATGCCTCGAGGCACTGTAGGCTCTCAACGCACGCTGTGATGATCTGCCAAAGTCAAGAGAATTCTCGAATTCCCCACAAGGACTACCTCGGGTATATTCTCAGCATTCCTGTCCCTCAAGGCTTCTGCCATATAGAGTCGACTCCTAGACTGTGTGATTGCCGTAATCACCGACAGTGCTACCAGGTTTGCAACCGCGGTGCAAAGATGCAGGGCTCCATATGCTGCCGCTTTGTCTGCAGAAGAGTCAGCATCAAGCAAGGCTTTCCCAATGTCGACTCCCTTACCAGTGCTATCAACACTTTTCAACAAGCCGACGAGGAGAGTGCCAATGATGATGCCATTGCATATACCGCATACGAGAATCTCGGAACCGGCTTCCACCACTGGTTCCGAGCCGTTCCAGCGTAGACGAATCGCGATCGCTGCTGCGAGTAACATCACCATTGAACCTATAAGTAAATCCTTGAGGCGGCCAAAACGACGGATGTACAGACCGGCGACTAGATTGCCGGCCGCCGTACCAATGGCTATCGTTGTCACGAGTAAGCCCCCAACAGTAGTGGTGCGATGGCCTGTGAGGTTGCTATACAGTGATGTGAGGTATAATAGCTAGAGTATTGTCAGGTCTTCATTAGATCCTTTGCTTGAGAACAGGAAAAGGCGGAGTTCACATACTGTCATGAACGCCATATCCTTGAAGAATGTTATTACGAATAGAGGCCAAATAGATCTCCGAACCACAAGGTATAAAGGAACCAATGGGGTATCCAAGGTACGCCTTTCAATGATTAGAAAAAAGACGAAGGACAATCCGCTCAGCACTAGAAGCGTAGGGATGGCAGGGTGAGACCAAGGCACGTCATTACCACCCATACTCAGTGCAAGGACCAACGTTGCGACGAACGAAGCAAGGGCCATTGCTCCATATATATCGAAAGATAGTTTTTGCTGAGGGCGGACAATGCTATCACCTGGCTGATCGATTTGAATTCTCTGACTTGGCAATGGTGGCAATTGGACCGTTATGAAGACGAAAACGAATCCTAGTATAGCCACAGGAAGCTCGAGGGCGAAAGCCCTGGATCCAGCACGATTCAGTATTGTATCTTCGAATATGAGGCGGAGTATACCTACCATCTCCAGCCGATTCGATCGACGACGAGACCACCCATTGTGCCTCCAATTAATTGTCCAGTGAAGACGAAGAACTGTAGAGCGCTTTGCCACGATGATCTGTCTTGAAGCGATATGATATCTGTCCACCTCGTGGTCAGAGTCATGGTCATCAAATTGTATACTTTGCTGACTTGCCATTAAAGATCAGGGAGACCATATAGCCGAGCCCCGCTGCACCAGCTCCGACCACCAATCTGGCAATGACAAGCATCCAAAAATTGTAACTGATCGCACTGTTTATAGTCAATAATGGGTTGTCATGTATTAGTGTACAAGTAGCGTGTCTGATACCAGAGTATAATGCCCACCGTAAAAAACATATAGCTCGCAAGGAGTAATGTCTTCCTGCCATAGATGTCCGAGAGGCGACTATACTGTATGTTAATTCAGAGACGATGTTGGACTAATTGCAAGGAAAAGTCTGAATCGAGAAAGACTGCTAGCAAGACTGACGAGTGGCTGCACAGCTGCAACGCTGACACCATAAGTAATACTGAGCCATGCCACATGCCGCAATTGGTGCAACTCCGAGCCTAGAGGAGCGAGTCGTATGAGCTAGGGTGAGACGATCAATATGCACGCAGGCAATTGGAGTATACCAATCCTGGGAAAGGCAGCCAGCTCCAAAATGTTATCCGCAGCATAGAGGAGGATACTGTGTTGATAAGTATAGCCTCAATTCCCTTTAAGACGAGACTCTGGTGGCATACCCCAGAACTAGCGCTGGCAGAGCTGCGTAAAATTGCGATCGTGATATCTTGTGGGGAAAATTGGGCCTGAACGAGGGGTCAGACGCAGCCTCATCCGCCAGGAGTGGACGCGAGCTGTCATCTTCCAGATCATCATCTCTGGAGTCGTCCATGGTCGATGACACCCCTCACGGTATGATGGATGGCATATAGAGAAAGAACAAAGACTCTGAAAACGAAGAGATTCAGAGCGAGCTTGTGAATTTGAAGGACAGATAAGTTGGCATACCCAGGATAAGCCCGGCGCTGTTTCGATTGGTGATAGGTCCTGCTGATTTCATAGGCTATGCCCAATACGATTAGAGCTAGTACTTGGGGGCAGATACATTTGCAAACTCGCTTGCTAACTCGCTGGAGATTTCCCCTTTTGCACCACCCGATATTGGCTTATGGCACATAGTGATTCGGATGCGTTCGGGGGTCAATTCCAGCCTTTCTGGTATGACACGTGGGTGACAGAAGTCGTCGTACTCCCTGTGATAAGGAACGCTGGATAGCTCCACAGCGAAAGATCTGACACAGAAGAGCTACGTATGTTAATTGTGGGTCTTATTCAATCAAGAACATTTCTTCGCCAGGGTAGTTGTATTGGAGAAGCATCGATCGATTTATGCTGATTAATAAGACAGTGGGATCTCTTGACTTCTGTCACCCGCGTGGCATTAGCTCCGCATATGCGCCAGGTGGACTTACTGTCGGGATTGTATCTAGTACCCTGCGGCGTGAAAACCGCGGCCTTCCGACACAGCTCCTCGATGAGGGCTTTCGTGAGGAAAACTTTGCTGACAGATCTAGAGGTTCCAATGCTCTCTATAATAGTGCCATAGAAAATGTATTCTCAAAAGCGTTGACTATCAAAGTATCAGTCGATGAAAAAATATAAATTTGGTTGTTCCAGCGCCAAGATTTGCTGGCACGCTGCCGGGGATTTAGCCCAAGAAACCTAGAGGTTTTAAAGGATACGCTAAATGACTTGCTAGCGTGGGGGAGATCTATCCCCATATTGAGATTCGATGGCCAAGCTGGTGGACGACTGTGATTAGTCTCAGGCTTCAGCGTTCTCTTTCTTTATCACAGCCATGGCTTCTCAAGAGTACGTAAAGCTCGCACAGTCTCTCCCGCCACGACTGCTACGATTCTTCGCCCGTTACCCTCCCCCTACATCCTCCTTCGCCAACCGCGCCCCAACATCCTCAATGTCCACCTCGCTTAGCACCTCCTCCTCCAACCCAAATGCCAGTCGAGAAGAGAATACCATCTCAGATTCCCCCCCATCACTCCCTTATCCGAACCCGTTCCAATCGCAAAAGCACCCAGCTACCGGCAAATGGCACAACCCAGTCTTTTCGTTGCGGCGGCAAGCGGATCTAGTGAAGATGGCACGAGCCAATGGAATTGAAGAGCTATTACCTTACACAACCAAGGGCACAGAAGAGAGAATACAGAGGAGGGTGAAGCATGGATTGAGGGTAAAGGGGACAGGGGTCGGGCAGAAGGTGAAAGGAAAGCTGTGGGAGAGGACGATGAAGGGGAGGTTGGAGAAGAGGAGGCAGGCTATGTTGGAGATGCCCAAGTTGGTACAGGAGTGGAAACAGGTAAGCATTACCTCAAGCTACGGTGCTGTGGGACGGCGCTGACAACATCTACAGAAGGGCCACGGCCGTGGGTGGAAGAAATGGCCGAAATGATTCTTGTTGGAGGAGCGATTGCGTCCTTCATGAAATCTCGAGCCACACTCATTGATAGCTACAAGCTCTCGAGGTAAACAAGCCGGGACAAACGTTTCAGTGGTTGTATAGCTAGCAACAGCAAAAGAATGGCATAAGGGCAGGTATAGGAGTTGTGAAGCATTGTTAGGAGCCTGCTCTGTATCCTCTTCATAAGAATCTCAAGTTGTACATCAGATAACTCCAATACGCAGAGTCAGGTGGCTTATCACCTGATCAATTGGGCATTGCGCAGGTCATGAAGCATGTAGCGGACTTTCTATGGCATATCCACTCATTGGCATAAGAGTAGCTGCCTCAAACCGCCGCATATACATCTTGCAAGTCTTTGCCTGACGGCAGAGGATTACCAGCATCTCGACATTGATACATGATGCTAAGGATACCGTCTTGCTCGTTGCAGAAATAGTAAGTCCAGTTGGTGGTTGTGAATTATACATCGTCCGCCGGCCATCGGGCAAGCTGTCAAAACAAGTAGCCGTTCGATGAATTGACTCCTTCACGATTTGGACGCCGAATCTGATCTACGACTCAAAAGAACATGTTAATCGAGATCAATCTGGCGCGGAAGAAACGTTCCTCGTTGATGTTGATTTTGATGGAATTTTGCGGACTGGTGCGACTGGGTATCACTTTTTCTGTGCCATGCCAAGGCCCACCGGGAACGCTAGCCCGTTCGAGAATGCTTGGCATGTCGTCGCTGTTGGATAGAGAATTATTCTTCTGGCATGCCTTCATCGAGTAAGGTACCTCTCGCCGCTCTCAAGATTCCTGAACAGGTGAGCCGAGGGTGTAAGGGTGAGTCTAAAGGGTGAGGCGAGGGTGCGTGTAAGAGGTGGCTTGTAAATAAACAGTGTTGGCCGTCGAGCGTCCTCTAAAAATTTACGCGCGAGCTGAGACGTGCTTTGCATGAGCTGATACTGCTTTTCACCAATTACAAAGTTTACACATGACTTTACGCGCGAGAATCACTGAGGGAAATGAATCCGGATCTAATTGCCTAAAAATAACGGGCGCGAAGGATTCTCTTCAATGCTGAATAAGGAAAGCTGCAGCGGCTATCAATGAGGCAATAAACAATTCACGGACAGTCCGACAACCTGTCCTGAACGTCTCGACCTCTCATCTCGCTTTCTTTTCTCTGCTTGCATTCCGTAACGGTCTTGTGTACCACATCACTAGATACAACCTACTGTTATCACGGTCTCATCAGGATTTCCTGCTATGGCCTATCATCCGCCTGTTTTCAGCCCAAGAGGATATGCAGCAGCTTCGGCAGCAGCGAGGCGGAGACATGCAGTCGAACGGCCTGCAGGATGCAGCAGACTTCATTTACCATATCTGTCCAAAGGCTGAGCATGTGGGAAGAAATCCGCCCCACCATTTCCTACATTTCACATCTTTTAATTTAGCCTTGAATCCAGTCCCATCACGGAGCACAACAACAGACTCGAGCGTTAATCTGAAAAATGGCACTGCTCCACATTGTCCAAGACACTTTTTCAACCCTGACGAGAGTGCAAGAGCGCCAGAACCCTACCCTGTCCCTGCTGCGAGCGTTCAAGCCCAACTTGAAACTGCTCCTGAGATTGATTCTGCTCCTTCAGCACCCGAGGTAAGTAGAGACGTGCTACGGTGATAACATGTCTGATTCAAACCTAGACGCTCCCTGAGCAGGGCCTCGAAGTCCTTTACAACAAATCGCCCCCAGAGGCTGTTAACGTCAATGGCGTTATCAAACAGCTAGAGACTTCGACTACACTTCGAAAAACTACTTTCTTAAAGCGGAAAAACTTTGCTTTCGCGGCCCTGGCCATATTGCTTCTTATGGCACTAGCCGTTGGGCTCGGTGTTGGACTCCGAAAATCTCCGAGAGCCTATCCTAGCTCTTCAGCTACAGCCAGGTACGTATCTATCTAATGCTATAAGGACAATTCTTTACTTATAAAGCAAGACCCTCAGGGGGCCCGATTTCAATGAACACAGCAAGTCCCACGGCGTCTGCAGATCCTGTAAATAGCTCTTTCACGCAACAAATCCTCAACGATACTTCTTTTGCAGCAATATATATGAATATTGGCGATAGACATGTACTTTTTCAGGATATCAAAGGGGATATTCAGCAAGTTGTTTAAGCAGCCTCGGAAGATCAATGGATAGTAAAGACAAACCCAACGGGTATCTCGGACGCGAGAGATCTAACACCCTTAGCGGCTGATGCTGTGGAACAAGATGTTAGCACAAGTGTAAGTTATACATTGAGAGATACAAGAATACTTCTGTTACTGACTTCAGCAACTCAGCTTCATCTTTACTATATTTCGGTCAGCAATCGTCTCAGCTCAAGAACGTATACCGACGGTATTTGGTGGCAATCTAGTGAGGATCTCTCAAATTACACTACATTCCCGAGCACGCGGCAACTATCAGTTACGTCGACCAACAGCACTGGAACTGTTGCTGCAAATGAGACTGTTAATCAGAGTCTCTTGTTATACGAGAATCTGCATGGCGACGTGTCCGCTCTTTTGAGAGTGGCACGAGCTGCTACAGATCCGTGCGATGCCATCGCTCTCACATGTCTTAAGCTTGGGTTGGGTACAAAGTCTCACTGGATTGATATCACCTCAAACAACAAATCGGAAGCGCGCTTCGGGTTTTCGCCCATCTATTTCATTGGTAGGTTCAATCAAACTTTCAGCAGCACATTGTACGAGATGAATGGAGGAACTACACTCAGAGCCCCGTTTGCCAGCGCACCGACCCCTTTCCTGGATCAAAGTATATTAGATGTGCAGATGCTTTTCTATGACTACAACTCTACTTATTTCTTGTCGTCCGAATACACTTCGTGGAATAATGCCAGCTATGGAAAATTCTACTCGGGTTCGTAATACCTATTTCAGAACCCTAACATATGTAAATTAAACGTCAAGTTAACGAATCCATTAGGAGGGGAGACATCAACCACATCAGATCAGGCCAAAAATTTCGGAAACAGCGATTTTACCGAATCTGACCTCGTGATGATTAGTCCGCCTGGCTATTTATTTGCAATCTGGGTTAATGGCACACGGCCAGCCGTCATCAACTTCAATCCCTCCACGAACACTGCCCCCGTTGGTCCATTCCCTTTCAGGAGACTTGCTAGTATTACTTTAGCTAACCAAACGGAGAGCTACTTGTATCATCAGATTAACGGGACTACGCTTGCGGAGGAGCAGTACCTCCCTTCTTTGAACCAATGGATCACCACCTCTCACATCACGATCTCAAGTTCTTGGTGATCTCGTTGTGGTCGCCCTTATCATAACAAGAAGGCGCTGCACCATGCCTTCAAGCGAACTGGCTTGCCTTTGTCAATATAACCAGAAATAGTTTTCTCAATCGAACTGGTCGTAAACAAAGGAGCGACCCCGCTCCACAGTGAGACTGTTGACCTTGTGAGGCTCATTTTGGCTTATAGGAATAGTATAATTCTAGGAACCAAAACCAGCTTAGAAGGTGAAACAGCGAATGGGATCGTACAGTTTTGAGGACGAAGACAGAAGAAGGAGAGAGTGAAGAGGTGCTTATTCGATAAGTGCTCTTTTTATGTACCTGAGCGCTTAAAAGTGGAACCCAGTCGCCTTCGCTCACCCCGCTCATCCTCGCTCGCCTTATCGGCGATCAAGATCACTTTTGAAAGGTGAAGCGGCATGCACAATGCTAGGCATCTTGGGTAACGTACCTCAACATGAACGGAGTCAGCGTTGAATTTCGTGGTTTTCTTTCATTCCATCTTGACTGGGAACATTGTCAACACAATCAGTCCTGAACGCCGCCACTCTTGAACCTCCACATTTCCTTGAGGTCCATCTTTTTTCCTCGCGCTCAAGCGCTGCTCGTTAATATATTTCTCTCTAGCATAAAGTCGGGTCGACGTTTCCAACACGGTCATGTAGTCACGTTTTCGAACACATTCCTTCATTATATAATCTGTATCCCTCCAAGACGAATCCTCTTTGACTACCTCAATGATGCCTTCCCCTCCTTCCCTTCCCTGTCAGCAACCAACAATCTCCAGCCCTACACCCTTAATCGGCTCCCTCCATTGCCCTTGCGACCGCTCCATGCCCGAATGCAGCACCATCATCTGCCAATCGAACCCAGAAGCTAGAAACGGTGCGGCCGTGTTTGGCAGGATGAATTCGCCAAGAACGGGCTTTGAGTATCCGGGTGCCATTGCCAAGGCGATGTGTGTGAGTACTTGGGTGGCGAGGGCATCAGGCCAGCCATAGAGGACGAAATGGAGGAAGTAGCCGTGCCTTTCTAACGGGGTTTGAGATGATGGTTGATTTGAGGGGGTGGCAGGTCTTGCAATATCATACGCCCATTTGCATCAGGGAACTTTGGTCTGAAAGCTTCGAGGTCACGTCCGCGATCGCCAGGTATGTTAACAATCAGCACAGCACCGTCATCATTCAGCCGCTTCGCCTTCTTATCTCTACCCAGGTGGAACCTTGCACCTTATATCCATCATCTTTTCTGGAGGGCTCTGCAGACATCCTGTCACACAAGTGATGCCCGGTCGGGAACAGCTGTAAACAGAAAGTTGTAGGAATTAGCATACCAGTCCTTTTTTTCATCGTCATCTACAAAGGTCTTCTTCGTAGACTGTGCTTTCCATCTACAACTGATCTGTCGAACTCAGGACGCGAAGCACATGAATTCCACAGTTGAAAGTTTCTGGGCCGTACACGTCAGACTTCATATTGGATTGAAGACGCAAAAGAAATTCATATGGCACTGAGCATTTGCCTGCCATATCGTGATATCGTCCCGTTCTAGAATGTCGTTCGAAGTACCATCTAACGTCCTTCCCGAAGGCTGATGTCTTCCAAAGAGTCTCGCGCACTCCAACTTTTTTCCTACTCCACTTGCAATTTTAAGCCTTCTTCGCAAGAACAGTCTTTTCGCTGATGTTGCACAGATGTGCGGTGGTACTAGTACGCGGCCAAACGTTCCAGCCGCATCACGATAAATACGTCGTCGCCCTCTCGCAGGTACTCTAGACACGCCTTGAGCTGCACATCGACATTTTGTCCGACTGTTTCTTCGTTGCTTCGACTTTATGCATTGAAACATCTCAGAGGTTGCGAGAAATTCACTTGACACAAAATTAATCGTTGGAAAGGTTGACTGGAGCATTCGAATGTGCTGCGAGGTCTACAGAGCTAGTCTAAGTGAGGGTCGCATCCGGCATATATGCCCTGAACTATCAAAAAAAGGTAATAAATGAGCGATTCATAATCCTCGTACAACTTTCAGGATCAAGTTTGGCGGAAGCCCCGATTCCTACCTCACTCGTCATCCCACGGGGCGCCCGCCATGTTAATCGAGAAATTTCATAAGATACTCTTCAACTCTTGAGGACTGTCGGACGGATGTGCGAGGTCTTCCGTACCAAATCATCAACAGCAACAACAATAATAGTGTTTTGGGTGGCGGACTCACACGCGTTTTTCAGACCTTTGGCATCACATACGAAAAACTTATGCTTGTAGGGCAGGCCTCCGGCCATCGCGAGGTGCGGGACCTGTCCCTCGATAACGATATTATCATCGTAGAACTTGGCGGTGACCTGCTTTCCGCGAGCGTTCCCAGACTTCTCACCGACCCTTCACGACTGAACATCGTTGCCCTTGTGATGGCGGCCGAATCCGCCACCGCTGCCATCGTAGTCTCCTCTGAGAATTGCGTAGCTACAACTGTCAGTTGCTTGATCGAGCCCTAGCATGGCCTGATTTAGCTCTCAATCAACCCTACAGAGGAGTAGGAGGCAAGTCAAGACCGCCTAGCGTGATCGTCTGTGTCATCCACTGTTAGCAGCCGCCCCTCTCTTCAGAGTGGACGCAGACCACGCACCTTGCTTATCTGGAATTCCTCCAAACCATGACTTCCTCCTTCTCTGCCAAACCCTGACTCCTTGAACCCCCAAACGGAGCTACAGGATCAGACACGATACCTGTGTTGATGCCGGTCATTCCAACTATGGAGCATCAGCGAGGGTCCAAACTATGTTGTGGTTGAACCTATCACCCTGCAAAGCCTCTGCTACCCTCCATGCGATGGGCAGATTCTCGGTATAAAATGTATGCTGCTAGACCAACCTCGGATTGATTCGCTTGCGCAATTACATCTTCCTCGGTGTCAAAGCGATAAACAGTAGCAACATGCCCAAAAATTTCAGTCTGGCTGGCTTCCATTTCCGAATTCATGTTCGTCAAGATTGTGGCTGGATAAAGAGTCGAAGGAGAATCCAAGCTTCGTTCCCCACCGATCACTGCTTTTGCTCCCTTTGATTTCGCATCGGCCACAAGTTGCTCAACCTTATCAAGAGCTTCCGAACTGATAACGCAGCCGAGCGCTGTCCGATCATCTCCAATGGCACCAGTCCTCATTTGCTCATTGACCTGCTTCGTGAACTCTGCGATAAAAGCATCGTGAATGCCAGATTGCACATATATCCGATTGGGGGATACACAGGTCTGACCCGATCCGCGGAGCTTCCCCGCACGCAAGCCTGCCATGGTTTTCCTGAGATCTGCATCCTCGAACACTGTACAATACTGTCAGCATAGCGGTGGTCGACCCAAAGACTGCCAAGGAGTGATCTAACCGATAAAGGAGCATTTTCTCCAAGCTCAAACGAGCACTTCTTCATAGTCGAGCTCGCCTACGCCATGAGGAGCTTCCCAACATGGGTAGATCCTGTGAACGAGGTCTTTTTGACGTCTTTACGGGTGGTAATGGCGGTACCAACTTCCTGAACAAGTTCGTTCGTAGTCACAACGTTGAACATACCTTTAGGGACACCTGCTCGCTCCCCGAGCTCTGCCAATGCCAATGCGGAATACGGTGTCTCTGTAGCGGCCTTGAGAACGATTGCGCACCCTGCTGCGATGGCACCAGCCACTTTTCGCGTGATCGTCGCGCTTGGGAAGTTCCAAGCGGTAAGTACACCGACCACGCCAACAGGCTGCTGGATTGTAACTACGCGGTTGCCTGATGTGGTGCCGCTAGCGGTGTGGTTATATGATCTTTCAGCCTCACACCTGAACCAGTCAAAGAACCCAGCAGCAGATTTAATTCCCTGCCGCGCTCCCGCAATAGGTCGTCCATTCTCATACATTAGTATCTCTGCTAGTGTTTTCAGATGCTCAATCATCAGATCAGACCACTTCTGTACTATTCTTGCTCTCTCTTTTGGAGCTGTGTACTGAAAGGTGCTGAAAGCTCGCTGGGCTACTTCAATAGCATCGTTCATGTCCTCGGATGACCTAGATGAATGTTGCGCAAGCCTGGGACACTCCATCTTGCAGGGCCGACGAACATTTCGGGGCATGAGCCGATCACCGTAGTTGTTGCTGGATCTATCATACATCAATACCCTCAGGTGCAGCTCGACGCACCCATGACATCAAACTTTGAGCCTGACAATGACTCAAGCCATTGGGCATCGATATATGCCTTCTCACGGAAGACAGTTGGATTTTTCAGTCTAGCAGCCGTCTGCACGTCAGGTCAGCCACGCAACGTGGTCAAAGAGTGCACAATTACGGAAGCAGCCGCCCATCTAGTATTCATGTTGGAGAAGCACGAGTCTCGGGTCTGAATCACATTTCAAGCTGGAGAGCGGACGCACTTCCAGGAAGCAGCTGACTGGCGGTGGCCCGTGACTGCATGCCCAATGCGTGAGGGTACTTGAAACATGAGAAGCACTCCGTTAAGTATAGGGGATGACGGGTAGAAAAGACTTGGCAGAGAAACAGAAAATGCCTTGTAAAGCAAAGCTGACTGCAAGTGTAACGTAGAGAATGATTAGGGAAGAGACAGAGCATGGGCGCTGGGCTCTAAGGCCGAAGGTTTTAGGCCCGGCATTTCCGTGTCCGGGAGACCAGTATCTACAGGTACAGAGCAGTGTCATTCCATAAATTGCAATGGAAGATATATACTATATACGAGTGTTTTTCATGATTTACCGACTGACTACCTTATGCTCATGATATCAAAGTCCTACACTTAAGATTGCTATATCTAAAATTCTTCGATGGAGGACATGGTCCATCCGTAAAACTTTGTCCTAATTTTATCTTTATTCTACACAGCTCGACCTCCATCAACTTCCATGTTGACACCAGTCACAAAAGACGACTCATCGGACGCGAAAAAGAGACAGGCCGATGCAACGTCTGAGGGTTCGCACAGTCGGCCAAGAGGAACGTTTGACAAAAACTTCGCTCGATTTTCCGGCGTGTCAGGCACACCTGAAAAGGACTCAAACCTGCAACCACGCGTCAGTACCTTTCGGAAACATCATACCAATCCTAACTTGCGACTCACAAGCCTGTGCCACCAAGAAGCGGGCAGATTGAATTGACTCGTATGCCATGAGGACCGAACTCAGCTGCCAGACCCTTGGTCGCCTGGGAGAAACGATCAGCAGTGGGGCACAATATCACAACACAGGGTGAGAATGATCATAGGGCAGTTGAAAAGCTGGCTCTTACATTCCACACGGCTCCTTTCGAACTGTTGTACCAAACCAGCCCCGGACGCGGTCGAGTAGCTCCTACAGAGGCGATATTTATGATAGACCCGCCGCTCCTCTGCTCAAGAAGCCGGGGTAGGACGGCAGACGTGCCGAAGAAGACACCTTTGACGTTGACGTTGAAACATCTATCAAAGTCGGCTTCAGTAACCTCCAGGGTCGGCTGCAATGGGCATTAGCTTGGTGACACGCGTATTGCTTGTAGATATGGAGGCACCCCTTGTTGCGGTACGTTGTCCCAGCGTTGTTGACCAGACAATTGATGCTTCCAAACGCGGATTGCGTAGATTCAACAAGTCTTTGCCAGTCGCTCTCTTTTGCGACATTTACTTTGTGAAATCTCATGCTGTCTGGCATAGCTGAGACCGTACGCTTGCCGCCATCTTCATTGATGTCGGCCACCACTACTTTCGCCCCTTGTTCTGCAAACAATGTGGCTATGCCTGCACCATAGCCTGAGCCACCACCTGCAAAATGTTATCAGCTCTGTAATGGGCGCATGCGAGACGACGGACCAACCTGTGACAATGGCAACCTTTCCGGCTAGTCGACCCGCTTTCGCTATCGAGGACATCCCAGGCTCTACTCAGCTTTCCATTTATACTTGCCTGTGCTGTATCTCAGGCCGAGCTGCAGACGCGATCAATGTACTATTGTAGTATTTGCAGGAGGTCGCGTTCTGAGGCGGACCGCCCGGGTTCACGGATTGCGGGGTCTTCTCGGAAGCAGCCCCACGGCAATGCATGCAATTGCAAAGAGCTAATACCTAGTCAAGCTAACTACTCCAACCAATATTCACATTGAGTGATGGCCTGCGCTCCTGATGGACTGCCGTGGGCATTACCCAGTGAAAATGTGTTTGTGTCTCGATCGCTCATATACCCATCGTACCAGTTACCCTTCACCCACTTTGCCAAGAATGCTCCACCCAGTGCACCAATGATTCAAAGGTAGCAAGACGAAATACACTATTTTCAAGCTCGTACCAACATTACCTTATCTTTCCAAATTCCCTCAGCTCTAGCGTTTACCAGGGCCCCTGAAGACGTACAACGCTTGGGATGTTATTGAAGTTCTGGGCCGCAGCAATGATGTATTCCGCTATCATGTCGCAACGGATAATTCCTGTTGGAAGACATCGTTAGCATCTCCCCAGATCTGTCGATCCACTTTGACCGGACTTGCCACCATATATATTCACCAAGATGGTATCAACCCTTTTGTCGCTCAGTATAAGCTCAAACGCTTTGACCATTGTCTCCTTCGTCGCTTGCCCTCCGCCATCGAGAAAGTTTGCACATTTTCCGCCATGATGAGCAACAGCGTCATTCGTTACCATAGCCAGTCCGACCCCGTTGACGAGACGGCCGATGTTTCCTTCAAGCTGAATGTACACTAGACCATGCTTCTCGGCTTCCACTGCCAATTCTTGGTTCCGGTCGCGGAGACCGAATATCTTACTCTGGCGTTTTGATGCGGTGTTATCGATGCACACTTTGGAACCGGCGCAGATGAGACGTCCCGTTTTGGGCTCACGGATCAAGGGGTTGATCTTTACGAGTGTGGCATCGCGTTGCTTGAAGGAGGTGAAAAGACGTTGGAGTAGGGCAGTCAGTGTTTCGCGACCTGCCTGTAAAGCAAACCGTTCACATATCACAGATACGGCCTCTGCCGTCACACCTTCTGTATAATCTAATGGCACTTTGACTACAGCTCGCGGGTCTTTGGCCGCTAGCTCCTCGATACCAGGACCACCGCCTTGGGACATGACGAGTATTGGGCAGGCGTTGGCTCTGTCTGTAATGATTGCGAGGTAATACTCGTGCCCTATACTCAATTGCTCTACGACTTATACCTTGTCGACGGGCAGACCTTCAGGCGGCGTTTGATTTGTAAACAAGCGCTGGCCGAGCATCCTCGCCGAGATGTTCCTGCCTTCGTCTACTCTATTATCGTTCAGCGTTGGCTTCGCACCGATGCAGATGCGACAGCACTTGGGTTAGATCAAGTAACGATGAGACCACGCGAACGCCGCCTTTGAATCCGTTTCCAAACCTTCCCTTTCCACGCCCTCCAGCAAGGATTTCAGATTTGATCACACCCTGACCTCCGAACTTATCGATAGATTTGCAACCGCCATCCCCGCGGCATGGGGACTTCGTACTGGTGCAAGAAGGTGTTGCGCCTGGTATTCGTGAAGTCTCAGGCATCGCCGTTGAGCAAACGATATCTTGGCCAGGCATTTGGTGTGGTGTAGAAGGCTTGGTCGGGCCGTTGCTATGATATTGGAGAAGAATTTGCATCTGACAGGTTTTAAGCGGGCGGAAAAGAGGAGACGCGTTGCAGAGCACGACGTGACATTACTCAGGTCACCTTTTAGCAGGATAGATGAGGTAGCGTTGCCCTCTTGTTAATTACACACGGAGCCCCGGACCGCGGTCGCAGCGGGGCCGGGATCGGGACATTCTCGTCTCATGGTAGCATGGGCTGATGCCGAGATCATCTTGGGAGAGGATTGCAGGAATTTGCAGCAGCTAAGCAGCGAAAGGTGAGCTGCATTCGAGAGCTAGTTAGCTATTGCTTTAGTAGGCTGATAGAGACGTGGGATTTTGACTAGCACGACGCTGCGTTTACTTCTATCTCGAGCGCAAGCCGTTAGTATAATGTCGAAGGACTACCTCCTCTGTTTGTAACACGCTTAGTCCACCACGTCACCTAACATGCCCACTTTGACGTCGCCTTTCCCATTGTGTCCCCAAAGTTTGATCGATGTCGTGTCGGTCTCTCTTTCCAACAGCGCCCTGTATTTCTCCCCCGCATAAAATGGAGCCGTAGCGCGGTAACTAATGGATTGTGGAATCATGAAGTCGTCTGCTTGCTCATCTCTCCAGAAGTCTAGCATATTGATCAGGTTCAACGGACCATGCACAACAATGTCCCTATGACCTTCCACATCTCTACACCAGGGCCGCGAGTAATGTATCTTGTGAGCGTTGAAGGTAAGCGCCGAAAATCGAAAAAGTGAGACTGCGGTCTGCAAATAGTCGCGTGACTTTTGTGACGTGTCTGGTAAAGGAAGGGGAGCATCGTCACTTCCAGTAGACTCTGAGTAGTCATGCGATGGCGGAAGTCCCGAGAGCTGTGTGCGGAACACCCAATCCCTCCTGTCGAACAGTGCCAGCCCTTTCGCGTTCTCAAACGTCTTCTTCACGCCGACAACAACTATTTCTTCACCGGCTCTCGTGACTTTGGGCTTTGCAAAAACGAGTTTCGTTGTCTCTATTGCCTCGTCACCAATGCGAAGCGGGTTTTCCTTTACCCAGTCAATCCTACCACCGGCCCACATTCGTCGAGTGAACGGCTCCGCAGGACTATAGCTGATATCTGTGCCATCTCTACCCAGGTGGTCTGGCAATGCGGCTGGTGTGAAGTAGACGAGGTGGTAGCCAGGTGCCAGAGGCGTACCATTCAGTGGAATCTCGTTCTCGAGAATTTGCCCGACTCGGTAGAGCCGCGGTCTGTTGAGGGTCAAGCTGAGACGTTGAATTTGGTTTGGGTCGAGGAATTGCTTTCTGACGATCGAAGGAACACTGCTCGCTGTGTAGAAGAAGTCTTCCACTAATTGTTTGTGTCTGGGCGAGACGGCCGTGGAGGCCAAACGGCGAAAGGGTCGCGATAACATGGTCTTCGAAGATGATTCTCTAGATTCATCTCATGACCCAAGAGGTGCGGGACCTAACTTGTGTTCTTCAAATGGCTTTGAATCGTCAACAATTCTTCAACACGGCAGATCCGTGCCGCGGTCTGATCTCACTTTTCATGCGCAATGAAGAGTGCTCTTGTATATAACGTTAGATAAATGCTGATAGTGGCTACAATAGACAAATATTTGGACCACACCATAGATAGTCGAACATAAGGCTATTAATGATGTTCTCTTTGTAGCTTGATTGGACACCAGGTCGTCAAAGCCTGCGCAGCGAGTCCCCGTTGGATGTGATCGTCAAAAATGTAAGGATGGGGAATCGATATATCAGTTCAATTGTCTGACAAGGAGGGAATCTGACAGCAGCTCATATCTGACCCTCGAAGGTGAGATTGGGGTGTCTTCTTGGCCTATTTTTTATCCTTGCTCATGCAAGCTATTAGAGATATGCGTTGATCTTAATCTTAGCCCCTATCGGGCTAGGGGGAGCGCTGCTTTACACGTACGCTGCCATCCCACGATCGCACGTTTTGGTGCGTATCAACCAGAACAAATTGGCCCTTTCTATCAAAGGATATTGAATGAATGAAAAACGTTGAACGCTTAGATATTATTCCTCTGAATGTATAATGACAATTCTTTAGGAAAGTCTCATGTTCTTCTCCGGTAACGCCTCTGAATTGTAGGACTCCAACAACCTCATTCGGTAGGTTCGCCGTCTATGAATGACTTCTGCAATGTGCGTCTAGGACCCCGTCCCGTCCCCAACATATCCATAATATACAGCGCAGACTCGGGATCTCCGATGAGCGTTTCTATCCTTGGAAAGGAGCATGGCCACTTCCGAGGGAGCATCCGGGGAAGACGAAGGAAGCAAAGGAGTCAGGGAACGATGAAGACAACAGGAACAACGCGCAGGAAGGAGTCTATCCGAATTCGTCGTTTCAGGAGAGGTGCTAGCCAAAGGAGCTTACATTGGCTGCCGCGTAATCGGCTATGGCTGCTCGGTTTGAATATTTGGCCCTGAAGTCACGAAATTTACGCTCCTAGAACATCCTAAATTCATGGTTGCCAGGTCACCGCCCACCTAGGTGGTTGCTATGATGCTATTTGGCCCTAATGGACGAATGCGTGGATACGTATTCCTGGTCAATTGCCTATCTGCTCTTGTTTAATTTCACACAAAACCATCTTCATTCACTCATGGTAGAGCTTCACTTTAGCCGTTGCCTCAGCGCGTCACTGCTTTTGTACTTCCAAAGCCTCCTACCATCTTCGGCTGATTCTTCACCATGACAATTTGTGCGTAAATGTCCTCGTTGTCTTCTTCTCCGTCAAAAGGCTGGGGGATAACATGGCTGCCCGCAAGTCGTCGCATGGATACGTTGGATGCTGAGCGTACCAGATATGCTGGGCTGTAGCGTGCTCAGCCCGCCTGCTGCCCAGGTGCCGTCGCCAGGCGATGCATGTTGCTTCGCAATACTCCGCTGCTCCATTGAACCATTGTGTCGCCGAAATTGGTGAGAGCACATCCTGGCTCGGGACGAATATATCATCAATGTGGGTCAATGTTCTCGGCTCAGGGGGAAGGATCTGTAATCCACCGACGATGTTGAGAATCATGGTTATAATGCCAAAGTCGGTATGAACGACGAGCTTGATCCCAATGACCACCCACTCTCTGCGAGAGACAATTGGGTAGGCGAGGAGAAGCTCCCGAAGGCTTGTCTTGAAGACTGAGGGCGGCGAATGTGCCATGCTCGAGACCCGAGTGCTTGTCCAAAAGGGCGAGGAGATGGCGAGTAGTCCCATACGTATGACAGAAGAAGTTCTGAAAGGTCTTACAATCACTCTCAATAACTTCAGGGTTATTGCGTGGAGCTGATGTGTCAAGCATATCATCCTGTCCGAGGCTGTAGAATTCGATGCAATCGGGGCTACCGTCTTGCAGCTTCATTTCACCAACAAAGGTTCAGAAATATATACCGAAAAATACTTACGGGAGGTCTGAAGGCATGCTTTCTTAACGTTCCCTGATTAGTTTTCAGTGTTTCTTCGTTTTGGTCAAAGGCAGTCTTAGCGTGTACAAAGTATAGTATTATTCTGACTACAGTCTTTTGAGTTCACGGTGAAAAAGCCGATTTTCTTGTAAGCTTGACAGAGCCGTGGTTGTCTAGACTTATACTTATCGTTAGTCATCAGCGTATTGAAAGAGAGACACCGAAGGTTGTCTACGGATACTCTAAGGGAAGAGAGAATACTCGTTGAAGTAACTGTCCGTTGGCATTTTGGGAAGAAATGTTAAGCACTAGCGATGGCGATAGTGCCAAATGGTGGACCATGACGGATTCGGGACCAAATGGGGGAGGAAACAAAAGGTAGACAGATCTTGACCTTGGAATCCCCGGTCGATGAACTAGCCCAATGTGGACATAGCGCTTGAGCAGCGTCTAATGGACCGGTGAAGGTGTCCATTAATAACGTAAGCACTAAGGAGAATAATTTCAACAGTCATGCTGACCACATATATAGCTACAGATACCCAGACTATAATGGTTAGAGAACGGCGGAGCAGTGTAGTGCTAGCTACGGTTTTCCGGAATCTGATTCGTGCGGCGTTTGAAATTCTATGCATTTCCAAATGGCCACGGCTTTTTTACATCGAGGTTAGCAATTGCACCATCATCTGGCTCTGACATTACGAAGTGGTCAGCAATCGTTATTTTGATTTCAAAGCTGAAGGTGTGGCCAATGGTATGCTGAAGCTACACCCCCATGCTGACATGTCCTGCAGTCATAAGTCTATTCTCAAATTCATCCTCGATTTTGTGGTATGTCTGCTTTCGCCTCAAGTTGAGGGTCTTGCCCATTATTCTTGCTCCGTCTTTTAATTTGGTGCATTTTCTATCTGTATAATTGAGAGGTGCTTTTGCTATGGTAGCTCGTGTTCCGACGGGTGTCCCTTCACGGGCTAATGAAATCATTGCAACTGCTATCGCCTGTTCTATACTCTCCACCGTCTTTGTTGCAATTCGAATATACACGAGGTCCCGGATCATCCGCGCAATAGGTTGGGAGGATTATGCTGCGCTGATCACCTTACCCTTCTGCATCGCCTACGGCACCCTCCTAGGCATCTCGACCCGCTATGGAATGGGCCTGCACGCCTGGGACTTCCCCGGAGACCTCAGGGAGCAATACCAAAAGTGGATCTTCATCGCTTCCTGCACATACTTGCCGAGTCTGCTGGGCTACAAAATGTCAATCTTGTTCCTGTATCTGCGGATTTTCAATGTCGACAGGATCTTTCGGTATTGCACTTGGGCTGCCATGTTCGTCACGTTCGGCTACCTATTCAGCAATTTCTGGACTCTGATATTCGGCTGCCAACCAATCGCGAAATACTGGGATCCCGAAACACCAGGTCACTGCATTTTTACGCTCAAGGCCGACTACGGCTATGGTTCTCTGAACTTTATAACGGATCTGCTCATATTTGTTTTGCCACTGCCTATGGTCTGGCGAATACAGCTATCTCGCAAGGAGAGGATTGGGGTATCGTTGATCTTCATGATCGGCTCTGTGTGAGTCCGTCCCAGCCCGTGGCACCTCGAGCGGCCCAAGCTGATTGAATCTTTAGGAATTGGGCCGTCGCCATCGTCCGCTTCGTCTGCGCCGTGCGAGACCTCACATCGGAAGACCGTCCATGGCTGGCCGCCGAGACTTTCCTCTGGAGCATTATCGAGGTCAACACGGGTCTCATTTGCGCTTGCGTACCTGTCCTGAAGCCTTTTTTCATGCATGTTGTTCCAAAGAGCGTCACCGACAGATCGTGGTCTTTTGGAAGGGGCAAAGTCAGTCCGACTGGGGATGCGCTCGAGGATGAAAGAAAATACAGCGATAGGTTGTGGGATGATTTGGAGCGTGGGAAGGCAGGGAGCCTGGGCACCTCGGCTAGCTCATCTATTGGCTGATTTACGTTTGAATGGCCCTTGAGCGGAACTGACCCTCGTGTCAACCACATGTACAGGTCGGGGCATATTTGACTAATCTTTATTTTCTTTTGTTTTGTTTTCTCTGCTTGTGTTTTCTTTTCCTTAGTACGAGACTGTATAAATATTACTCGACAGGGAAAGCTCTTGCCATGATCAAATAGCAACTACTATAGTCACCAATCTGTATCAGGTCGGCATGCTGTAATTATTTCTCGTCTTCGTATCGCCCAATGGAGTATACTAGCTCATTATTGCGGTCCATAATCCCGGATCCCTTTAAAATGAGGGTGTGTTTCATATTTTAGATCGAGAACGCACAACTAACAGGCGATCCTCATAATACATGGCTAAAATGTTTCGCGAGCTGCATGAGGCACAAAATAAATGGGAATAGTCAGACTCGGCGTTGATCAATCACGAAGATAGCGACTAAAGAAGCAAAAGGCGAGGACAGGGACGACGCGTTTAAAGAGAAAGAAAGGAGAAAACAGAAGTTTCGTTTCGTGGCCGGGTAGCACTCAGCGAGTGGGGGAACAAGTGTGTAGCACGATCAAAGACTCAACAGACAGATGAACCCTCACAGCAGAGTCCCGTGAGCACAGCTCAGGTGACCGGCCACATGGTACGTCTGCAGCCGCGAAAAGCGTCTTAACCGTCACCGATGGATTCGAATACTCCACAGAAAAGCTACTTTGCGCCTCCAGGAACAAGCCAACATATAGGCGCCCAGACAGCCATCCCAGCCTAAGACGCAAGTTTCAACGGCGGACAAACTCTCAAAGCATGCCACCTGAAGAGACCATAGTTAGCAAATCTTGATCAAGGAGAGAAGGGACTAATGAGCCAAGTTGTACGTGAGTGAGTGAATGCCAGAGTGGGAGCCTTGCGCGGCCGTGACATGTCTTGTGACTCATGACAGGATACGTTCAGGGGAGAAATTCTTCCTAAATAATTTACGTGATATCAGTCCAGTAAGAGACTAGTTTCGGCGGATTCAATGTTGTGATGGGTTCGCCAAAGGCCGTCGTATTCGAAAATTGAAAACTCCATTTGAGAACACAGTCACGCAATTTTTCCCGTCACCACCAACACAGTATTCATGGCCGTAAGATCGAGCTTCATATTCGAAGCCCCGATATCCTCGATTCTCGTTCTTCAATTGACCCAGCGTCCATTACTTGGATTCCAATACGGCCCTTGGAAGCCAATGGCTGATAGTAGGCGGTTCCCCAGGTTTGGGGACAAAGAAGTCGTAAGCTTTGGAGGCTGAGAGGAAGTATACGGCGACGCTGCAGCCGTACTCCGGGATGGGACTCTGGTAGATGGAGCAGTCGGATTGGCTCTGGTGAGTGTCGTCGATGATCAAGCCATGGCTATCTAGGGTGCCAGAGATGTTCAAAGTGAGGACGTACTTAGAAGCCCAAGGCTCGGAGAAAACGACGTCGGCACCTGATCCTTGCGTGTAAGAAATTTCGATATCTGCAGCGCTCGAGCACGGACCGCGATTGCCAGCTTGTGTTATAGCGGTAAGCTTTACATATCGTGAATTCTTGCTGGCGAAGTTCACCGCCTTGGTGGAAGAATCATAGTGAAGCTACCAGTAGCTTAGTTATCCCGTTCATGCGAAACACGCATCACATGCACACATAGGGGACCAATAGTGTAGGTAGTGGTTGGGCTGCCTCACCCTGGGGATAGCAGGCCCCTGAAGCTGATCACCTTGTGCCATTGTTCTAATGGGCTGCACATGCGCCTGGTTCATACTCCAGATACTGAATGTTGATTTCGTGACGGAAGGAGTAACGGCCGCCGCCGTCGAGAGTAGATTGAACGGCGCCTCTCCTTACGAAATATCGTTGATGTTAATCAGAATCTGGTAGGTGCCTGCGGCAGGTTGAAGGTAGAATGCTGTCGAGAGGTCTGCTGAAATCGAGAACTGGATACTAATATCCGGCACAGCAAGATCTGGCAAAGACAAAGTAACCGTAATGTCTGGATTCTCATTCGGCACTGGAGTGTATGGATTGCCGTCTTGGTCTCTCAACTTGACATAGAGGGGGACTTTTTGGCTAGCGATTCCGGAGCATAGGCCTTCCCCGTAAGGAAAACACAAGTCTGGGGAAAGCCTATTAGAAGCGATAATGACGAACATTCCGGGCTGGCTTTGTGCATCAGATTGATCCCGGATAGTCAATACATACGTTCCAGCTCCTCTTAACGCGAACGGCAGCGAAAGACAGTCGTTGCGTATGCTAAAGCCTTTGCTAGCATCGTAGGATGGAGCGAGACCAGAGCCTTGGTTCACGAAAGTGAGGCTCAAAGGAGGCGTAGCGCCCATGCCGAGCCTTGGCTGCCCATACTGATCTTGGGGTGTGAGCGTGAGGTCGAGGCATCCGATTTCTTGAGGGTACGCAACGTCTGTATTTGCTAGGGAAAAACCACTGGGCTGAGCTTGGATCACGTTCTGAAAATCGCATTCAATCGGTGGGACCACTCCGAAATACTTAAGTACCATGTGACCCTCTAGAGAAGGCCTTGGGAAAGAAGTCTGCACACCGTTTGAGATATCAGACCAACCAAGTACCACGTTCTGCCACGTTCCATCAGGCAGACTGATGCTTAATCTCAGCTGAGAGGAGTCAAATGGTTGCAAGTAGTGTCGGGATTTGTCTTTAAGTTAGACCACGAGGTTGACATTTTGACCCCTTGGGCCTGGAGACAATCATGTCCCCCCACTACCAAGCTAGGCTTAGTGAGAAGGCTTGCGTCAGCTCCGTTGCTGCTGGGACCGTCTTGGGCAGTCGAGGATCCCCCAGAAAATGATTATCATCTTTGCCAAATATCTTGTCTAGTGCAGCTCGCACAATAGACTTGGCTGCTCCAAGAGCCGTGAGCTACTTTTCTAATTAGCAAGCAGAGCAAAGAAGTAGGTGGTGCCAACTGCTTCAATATATACGAAGACGTACCGCAGCACAGATGTCGCCAGCAATTTCGGCAACACCAGCGAGCTCAGCAAGCTCGGCCATGACGCCGGCGATTTCTTCGACGACTTCGGACAGTTCTTTGACATCCTTAAGGAGCTTGTAGAGTTTTTGCGCCATCCTATATGCTTCCTTCACATCGATCCCGAATACCCTGAATGGTCCGCTTGCTAGATCATAGGAGAGATCGACAGGCACTCCAAGCATCCTGTGGAACGGTCAGCAACGTCCAAGGCTTTTTCAGATCTAACGAACATTGCGGTGCCTGCTAGTTGCCCGAAAGCTTTGAAACTACCTCCACTCTTAGTCAAGTAAACTACCAAGCGCGGATCTAGCATCGCAGCTAATTTGGGTAATGTATCCGACAAATTCAATCGAAACAGGTAGCTGTAAACTTCCCGGTACCATCATCCCATGACATTGTGAGCGTAAGTGCTTTGATGAATTTGATGGATAGAATGTCAGGTGGATTCCAAAAATCTGCGGTAGCAACATAAAGGAACTGTGCAAGATCACATTTACTTGTGTCAACAATTCCAGTGAGTTGTCTCGATGTAGCTTCGAGGGAGCAGCTGACTTTGTCGCTTCCCGTCTGAGGAGGACGAAGAGTGTACCAGAAGTTGATGCTAAGGATCACGGACAGTTGTGATTTAGTATGCATGTCCTTCAAGGCTATCCCATCGTCTGGCGACTTGCGGGTAAAATGTCTTGGCACCCACCACCAAAAATCTATTTACATGGTATGGCCTCCAAATGCTCCTTCCAACAAGCAATATGATTAAATATCGCTATTCCACATAGCTTACAGCCATATATACCTCTTGAGGTCTGCTGGGGCCGTTTTTTTTGGCCCTTTTCTGGTATTCTGACGGTGTTAATAGATAATTCCAATAGTGGCTTCCTGATCTTTGACCATGGCTGTGGGGGACGTCCTTTTGGGACTGTCGTAGGCTTTGGATCCTTTTTCACGTGATCAAGATCATTTGACACCTTATTGCGAGGCATTTTTATTGGTTTCCTAGGCTATTTGGCTTTCATCCGATGTCTGGTAGACGCGTTGTTTTGGTGGTTCGTGTGGTCAGGCCGGTAGGGCTGAACCCCTGAATTTTACCCCCTGCCAGACGATGGGATAGCCAGTTTCAAATCTTTAGCCCATAGGTAAGAGTCTACGAGAGACCATTGCTGTAATCCACTCGCTACATTGAGTGATAGACTGTCAGCATACCACGAGGTGTCTCGTATAAAAATGATACTCGCGTTGACACAAGCGGCGTCACGATAGCCATCAAGGCCCGAAGCTGATGTTACGTCAGGCGCTTGGAGGCTTTGCGAATCCAGGCCACCGAGGATGAATGTTCCGACAAGTTGTGTAGGCTCAATCGGTGTAGCGATTCCAATGATCAGGGTTTCTAAATTCGTAAGTGTGATCAGGACATCCACAGGATTCGTTAATCCAGAAATCTTTGTTCGGCCATCCAGAGACAGGGTGTTTGTTGAAGGGGTTGTTGTACAATCGAATCCTGCCGTGAGACTTGGATCGGTAACGAACAGCGGGCCCAGTGCCCACGTTGTAACATTACTAGCAGACACTCCTACGCTTACAGGAGCTAGCCCAAACTCATTGTCGGTAGGATTCAGCTTCTTACAGACAATTGTGACAGTAGCCAAATATTGGTTGTCCGAGGGTATTGGGCAATCGGCAGGTATGGTAACCGTGGACCCAACCAGTTGAGCCAAAACTTGCTGAAAGTTGGCTGCCTGTAAGATGACGGTGACAAAGTCGTCCTGTCCGCTTGCTCCTCGGGAGACGGAGGTAGATGCATTCAAGACCACTAATATGCCAATACTCGCTGTTGTAGATGCAGAGAACTGTATTCGGCGCGTGGGCAGCTTGGGGTCTACTATATTCAAGTTCAGCGTACTGTCTGTGATGGTAAGCTTATCCGGAACAATTATCCAGGGAATTAAATGGGACACCGATGCATCCAACTCTTTCAAGGACCAGCCTTTGTCGATTTGTTGCACCATAAGAGAGCACTACGCAATTGGAGTGGCAAGTAAGGTGGATGCTTGCAGTGCTAGTTCTGATGGTACTGTCTTGGCGCTCGGATCGTTCTGGACGTCCGTTGGATTGATGCCTATGAGGGGCATTTGGAGGAATGTAGAAAGCGGAACATCTGTGTCGGCTTGACCAACGTAATAAGCTGATACGCTAGCAGTAAAGGTCGTCGCTTGCTCTTTGGCGTTACGTAGGAGCATTGCAGCTAGGACGACCTTGTATTGAGTTGAACCAATAGCACTCTGGGTAGGAGAGACGACGCCAAGCAGCTGGGCATAGTAGCTGATTTTGTTTTGGGTGGCGGCATTTCTAGGGAGCACAATCACGTTCAGCGCCAACTGTTCCAGGGTTACTGTGTCGAAGATGGTCGATTGGCCAGTCACGGCGAGCGAAGCTTGCACCGAGACGATGCTGGTCAAGTAGTTGCCTGCGGTGACTGGGTCGACAGTCTGTTGAACACGCATTGTCATTTGAGCGTTGACAGATGTGACGGCATCTCTGACGTTCGCACTTTTCGGCGCGGACGTTGGGAAGTCCACGAATCGGTGGCGACAACATCTCCAAGGAATCTAGGATGGCTGATGGCAGACTGCGCGCTTAACCCCAGACTCGCATCAGGATCGTACGACAGCGTCAAGCCAAGAGCAAATTGCCGCGGACCTGAGGGCTGACTGACACCGGCGACAAAGGCAAAGATGTTGACAGCATTCGCTATGAGACTGACCCATAAGCGTATCCTTTGATGACGGATGACTTGTCGGAAGATGTCGGGTTCGTGATGTCAAAATAGGTTCCCATACCGGTGATGGTCAGCTGCGACGTGACCTGCCAGTCCAACTCAAAGTTTGCTTTCAATTGCAATTGAGCCGGTTCTGAGGCAGTGAAAATTAAGATGCAGAATCGCTGTGTACCCCAGATATGAGAAGAGCACCAGGTCAGGTCTACTGGCACACTGCCAGGGACCTGGTTTATTTGCGCCTCTTGGTTCAGATCGTGGGGAGTTGGGGTTTTAATGGGGTCTGGGGTGGGGTTTAGTGAAGAGTCCGCAGCGATATCTTGAAGGCAGATGCTCGCATCATCGTCGACTGTGCAAGTCAACACAGTAGTAGTAGTCTTGGACTGATAGGTGATGACGACTGCCATAGGAATGTTGTAAAGCGTGATGGAATCGCCGAAAGCGGCGCTGAATGCCAATGGCATATCTGAAGGGTTCTCGTTGGCTGGCGCTAATTCGCGCTTGGCAATGAATTCGAAGTAGAGTTCTTGTAGAGAGATGTTGATGCCATCAATCGGATACCAGTATTCCTGCTGCCAGAACAATTTGGCGCTCGCGTTCTCAAGATACCATCCTGATGCGTCTTTTTGCAGTGTCAAAACTGCTTCAAACGGATCCTTGTCTTCATCCGGCAGTGTCGCGGTGGAAGGAAGCTCAAATTGAGATTCCAATTGCGCACCTGTGCCTGCACCAATGAATCGATTGAGGGCATCCTCTGGCGCTATTCCGCTTCGAGCTCCTGCACGAACGCGGAGATTGGTGGACGACACATCACCTACCGAGAGCTGGCCAGCAACCTCTAGACTCACATCATCGATGGAGACTACAGCATTGACATCCAAAATTGCATTCCAGGGACCAGCAGCCAGACCATGGTCGAGGATCAAACCTAAAGACACCTCTGACAGCTCGACACGGTTTTGGATAAGGGGCCAATTAAGATCGCTGGCAAAGTCGATTTCAATGCGCTGCAGAAAGAACGGCCCAGTCATAAGCTTTTGAATGACTAACAATGCTCCTGCAGCGAAACTGGTGCCGCTGTTCTCATCCTCAATTCCTCTAATAATATATCAAACCATCAACTTCTCCAGCCACATTCCCACGAACATCTAGCTCTAAAACGGGATATGACTTTCTGAGCCAAAAAAGATTGTGAGATCATGACAAAAGCTACCTCGAACAGGACTTTCCAGAGAGAAAACAAATGAAAAATTGCAAAAATGCTCGAAAGAAACAAGAACGATCATATGCCTATTGCCTTACCCAAGTGAATACCCGGGCTTATAGAGACGAAAGCAATCGCTTATGGATACTATAGAGACTAGTAGTAGAAATAGATGGGACCACAGCAACAATCTCATGAGCAATCTTTGACCAGAAACCTCCCCCTTCCCTAAGGAATCCGAATCCCTTTTCAATGCCCTCCCCAAAATCGCTCTCGCCCTCCCACCTTGAAATATGCTTCAAAGCCGTCCTCGTAAAACAACAAGTTACCGCATCGCTATCTGGCGACACCGAAAACAACACACTTCCAAAATTACAGCAACGATGAAGAACTCTAGGGAATCACAATAAACTTGACTAACCAACAGAAACAGAACAGCGAGATCAACGTCATCCATCGTGAACTGACGAAATTGACCCTCTTTCCCTCAGAGTCTGAGAGAGGCCTCGGAAGCTTACAAGGCACTTATGGAATCATTCTGACGCGACTCTCACTCGCGTTGCGCGAGCGTTAAGCGGCACTCACCCAAGGCCTGATAGGGGGCGATGCCGGGGCACAATACTCAAAATACGGCTTCCGTAGCACAAACCTCGCTCAGGATGAAGCTACCCGCAACCAACATGGCGAATCAACGTCCTCGTTTCATAGGATCATCGGATCATGGGATGTGGGAAAACGGTGGAGGTAATCGCACCATCCGATAAAACCTAGCTTGGCGTACAAATTCACGACTGCTTTACCGAATCCCGTAAGCCGCACTCACTTTCAGAATCTCGTCGCCCTCGACCTATCCCCAACACATCCCAGCCCCCAACAGCCCAACAGCTACACCCAGAACCGCATACCCCCCCACCTGCCCTTCCGCAGCGTCATGCTAAAGCTAGATCCTGCATCCGTCCGGTAGCCGCTACACAACACATTAAGAGCGTCTCGACAGCCATACTCTGGACCGTATAAAGCAGCGCGAGCACCGTGAGTCCGGAGCTGATGTTTCACGCCCTGGCAACCGACACGGACGGAATGGACACGAATGGAAGCGCTTGCGACGTGGGCGTTTGGGCGGGGATACTGAACGTGGCACTGAAGGCTTGCGGGTTGACCATGCTGTACTTGGCCGCCGCCGAGGGCGAGGACAGCAGGACGTAGTTGAGACTCCTCCGCCGGTAACTATAGCCGAGGCAAAGATCCTTGGCAGGTGGAGGAGCGCCAAGCCCGCCTACCAAAAATGGACTAAACCGAACCTCTCAACTTCTCATCCCTCCATGCCCACCGTCATGGCCTGACATTAGCTCGTGACCGGAGATAATACAGAAAATAATGACCACCGCCTACCCACCCACCGTCCACCACTCCAGCATCCGCGTCTCCACCCCCGAGGCCCTCTCCCTCCTCTCCGCCTACCTCGAAGCCACAACCACCGACCCCTCCCTTCATCCCAGCGCTCACCTGACAGAACACGGCCCTGTCGCGCCATCATCGGGCCACAACACAGGCCTCGTCCTACACAACCTCCGACGGGTAGAAGCTGGGCTGCGAGGGGAGAATCTGGGGGAAGATTTGACGTTCCAGAAGTACGGAGGGGATGGGTTGCCGGAGTTGATGCCTGATGGCGTAGTTGAGGGTGCGGGCGATTACGTTCATCAGGGCTCCTCGTATGGCGAACAGGGAGGGTTGGAGATGGAGAGCGAGTGGCAGGACAAAGCGGAGTTTGAGAGGCAGCAGGAGGTCGTGCAAGGGGATATTGGGAAGAGGGATAATGCCGTTGATGGCGGCTTCGAAGAGGATGGAGCGGTCGTGCCTCGCGTAAAAGCTACGTGGGGTCCTGAGGATAAAGAAGCAAGGAAGAAGGCGAAGAGGGAGAGGTTGAAAAAAATCCGATTGGAGAACGCTGCGCGAATCCAAAGGGAGGGCCGAGCGGAGAAAATTGATTCTCGAACAGACTCACTGCTGAACGATCGAATACTCAGTCCAGGTCCTAAGGCTCGATAACTACGACAAAAAACTTTTGGACGCTACAGCTCTCTATCTGAGGCTTTGACCGGCTTCTCACCATCCATCTTCTTCGCGTCAGCCTTCTTCTCATCGCCATAATATCCAAGCGCTCCGAGCCTCTCCGGCAAGATAGGATGCGAGAAGTGGTAGCTCGCATACATCCAGTCAGCGTTCATGGTGCTGAGGTTCTGGATTTGCAGCTTGATAAGGGAGCTGGCAAGGTCTTTGGAGTAGCCAAGCTTCACGGCAAATTCGTCTGGTAACAATGTTAGTGTGGTTCATCGACATTTCTAGGAATGGAAACCCTTACCAGCTTGGAATTCGAATTTTCTGCTCAGAATGTTCATCAACAATTTCACCACCGTGTCCATGGGTGCGAGGGCATCAGAGAAGAGGATGAAGCCAATGATGATGGGAAACTCCTTGTGGAACCCGAAGGATTGGTAGAGGGAGCGGTTGTTGATGAAGACGGAGAAGAGGGCAAAGATGTAGAATGTGTGGAACTAGCAAATGTCAGAGATTGGTTCACCGTTGGCAGGGCTAGTCACGGACCTGTGAGATCCCAAGTAATTTGGTCGTGTGCCCAAGACTCCAATGCCCAAGCTCGTGTGCCAATACGCCCACGACTTCTTCCGTTTCGCTCTTCTCTATCAGGGTGTCATAGATGACAATATGCTTCTTCCACGGCAGACCGTAAAAGTATGCGTTGCTGTGAGCGCTTCGCTTGCTCCCGTCGATCACATAGAGCGAGTTCAGAGGAAATTTCAATCTCTTAGCCAAATTCTCAACGCCAGTCTTCAGAGGGCCTTGTTCGAGTGGTGATAGTTTGTTGAAGAGAGGCAAGATGAAGATGGGGTAGATGGTAATGGCGAAGAGTGACACGACAACTGAAAACAGCCACAGGTAGTAGAAGAAGCTGTTGCCCGTCTTTTGTACAATGGCCAAGAATCCACTAAGCAGAGGCGCTCCAAATACGACCATCAGAGCCTGGCCTTTGATCATGTCCATAACCCAGAGCTTAACTGTCGACTTGTTGAATCCATATTTCTCTTCCAAGACGAAGGTGCTGTAGTAGGAAGTGGGTATGCTCAAGACGGTTGTGATGATGTTGTAAGTAAAGAAGAAGATCAAGGTATGTACGATCTCCCCCTGGTATTGAGCAGGCACATATCGAGTGAGCCAGACGCCGGTTAGGCCCCATAGTTTGGGTAGGAGATCGTAGTAGATGATGCCGTAGTTCTGGATTTGGCTATACAAATTCGCGACAAAGCCGAACTTTGCTTTTGCGCGACCGTATGCCTATACGGAGACGTCGTTAGCTAACATCGTGTTTACCTGGAATTACGGTTACGTACTTGGCTCTTGTCGAACACCTCTTGAGAGACCTCTCCCTCAAGTGCTTTCGGAGGCTTCTTCTCCTGCAGGACCCTGTACTGACGCGCCGAAAGGAAGCTTTCAAACAGGTATTCTGCCAGGGAAAAGCCAACAATGAGCTTCTTCCATGGAAACCCAGGCCTATCGAGGAAGCGTCCTAAACGCTATGGTAGTCGTTAGCTTAGAAGATCGCGACAATCGATCATAGCAATTTACCTGAAGGAGATCCATGGCTGTACAGAATTCGATTCAAAGAGTTGATTAGTTGGTGAGAAGATGTGTGCAAACTTGCGCGCGAAATGTGTCTTGATGTTTGAGAGCTACTTTTATCTTACAGGTATGATGCCAAGCTTTTAACGGCATGACGCTTATTTATCCCCGAACACCGAATTGGTTTGTTCCGTCAGCTAATACCAAAGCTCCCCGGGGAGTTTCACCAGACAGGATGCAGCTTCGCCCAACCTGGAGAGGGTGGCAAGATCTGGGGCAGCAAGCTTTCACAAAGAAAGGAACAGTCTTCACGAATCTTGAGAGGGTTAGGCAGACACGAACGCATCACTCAAGCACAAGATGGCATCTTCAAATACCAAGGGTACCAATGCTACCAATGGTACGCTCAAAGGCCAATCGAAATCCTCGAAGCCTAGGATGGAAAGGAAGATCTCCTCGCCCATGAACCCTGCTTTTATGACCTCTGCGCCTGGCAAAGTCATCGTCTATGGAGAACATGCGGTAGTACATGGAAAAGCAGCAATAGCTGCAGCGATCTCTCTACGGTCATACCTCCTCGTCACCACACTCTCAAAATCTCAGCGAACGATATCCCTCAGGTTCCCAGACATAGGTCTCAGTCATACATGGGACATTGACGCTCTACCCTGGTCTACGTTCTCACATCCTTCGAAAAAAAAGATGTATTATGACCTAGTCACCACTCTCGATCCCGATCTTGTCAAAGCCATGCAGCCCCATCTCTCAGACGTCTCTCCCGAAGCCACAGGTGAACACAAGAAAATACGTCAAGCCGCCGCCTCAGCTTTCCTCTATCTCTTCCTATCTCTTGGCAATCAGACCTTTCCCGGGAGCATCTATGCCCTCCGCTCCACCCTCCCCATCGGCGCTGGGCTCGGTAGCAGCGCTAGCATAAGCGTCTGTCTCAGCTCAGCTTTGCTCTTACAAATACGCACCCTGGCAGGACCTCACCCAGACCAGCCTTCCGAGGAAGCAGAGTTGCAGATCGAGCGAATAAACCGCTGGGCCTTCGTTGCTGAAATGTGCATCCACGGCAACCCCAGCGGCGTAGACAACACCGTCTCCTCAGGCGGGAAAGCCGTTCTCTTCAAGCGCGAGGACTACACCAGAGCGCCGAAGGTGACACCGCTGCGCAAGTTCCCCGAGCTCCCTATGCTGCTGGTAAACACCAAACAGGCTCGTTCCACCGCAACAGAAGTAGCCAAAGTCGGAGCATTGAAGGGGTCTTTACCTGTAATCACAGAGGCAATCCTCAACACAATCGACGCTGTCACAGAGGCCGCCTATAAACTCATCACATCCGCTACTTTCAACCAAAAGGACCCACATACAGCCGAAACTCTCGGCAAGTTGATGGGCGTCAATCATGGCCAGCTGGTCTCATTGGGTGTTTCACACCCACGTCTCGAGCGTATCAGAGAGCTCGTGGATTTAGTTGGTGTGGGTTGGACGAAGTTGACTGGTGCAGGTGGTGGCGGCAGCACTATCACACTACTGAGGCCAGACGCGTCGCCCAAGGCGCTCAAGGAGCTAGAAGGGAAGCTGGATGCGGAGGACTTTGAGAGATTCGAGACGACGCTTGGCGGCGACGGAGTGGGCGTGCTATGGCCTGCCGTTCTTAGGGATGAGGGCGAAGAGGAAGGAGGGGTTGAAATCGATCAGCAAAAATTCCTCGAGGCGGAGGGGGAAACTGGGGTGGAAAGCCTGGTCGGGGTAGGAGCCGGACGAGAGAAGAGAGAGGGATGGAAGTTCTGGAGGATTTAGAGAGAGATCTCTCAGAGCGCAGGATTGCTCAAGGTCACATCCACGCATGTTAGAAAGACAGGAAGGCTCAAGCCAATTGTAGTTTCATCTTCTTACTCTGGGGCCTTCAAACGCTGTCACGAAAACAAAGTTTCTCGTGATCTGTGACCACGAAGCTTAGCATCTGCAAGACCTCAAGTGTGGCACTGACCGGACCTCTTCAACACCCTGCTCGTCTCCAGCCCCAATAACCGTCCCATCTCCCCCCAAAAGCCGTGTCAGCATCCACGCTAATCGAACACGGCAGAGCTGACGCACCCCCCCATTACACAACGATATCCCTTCAGGGCACTGATAAACGGCATTGCCCCCTTCGGCCCGGATCCCCCGTAAGAGAATGTAGCAAAAGTCACGCACGCACAGAGCGAATATAACTTTGCGGATATGGTCCAGGACAGGGTAACGCTTCCAATCAGAGAATATCAAACAGAGAGGATCGAACGTATACAAGATCGTTAGCTTGCAGATCAAACCACGAGGTTGAGCGGAAACTCGGTCGAGAACTGTCACTCCTTTCTGCCCCCCACGTAGGAACTTCCACAGTCTCCAACAAGGATGTTCGCCCTCGATTGCATGACTTTTGCTACATTGATTCCCTCTCTCGCCCTTTACAAAAAGAAGTCACACCGAAACGGATACACTTACCAGCCAACCAGCCAGCAGATACAAGCTGCAAGCCGACCCATCCGGATGTCCATTCACGACCGCACACGGATCAAAGTGTCGGGAGTGGACAGGGTGGCGTTTCGAGAGAAGCCGGGGGCGGCAGATGGGGCGGTGAGGGGATGTGTGGATGGTACGTTGTGGTGGCATGGTGGTCATGGTGCTGGTGGTAAGCGATGGGTGCAGTCTTCCTTGAGGGGGAGGTTTTTTTTTCAAAGACGAGCAGTGTAGGCTTCTTGATGATGATATTCGAGGGCGCTCCGGTCGATGCTCACCAATGGAGTGAGTGGTTAGTCTTGGAATCACAAGCCAGGCATCGTGTTAGGAGTGACAGGCAGAGAAAAGGAGTGGACAAGGATGCATGGGTTTACGAATGACTCTCATTCTCTAGCTAAAGGAAGTATTTGCCATATCGACAAGCCGCCGGCAACAAGACAGGATTCCTAGAGCTCTACTCGCGAGAACGAGTTTCGGTTATGGTACATGTAATATTGTAGCTCCATTTACCTAATGGTCCACGCTGCGAGTGTATGGCATGGCAGTACGGTTGCTCCGCTATCCATTGTGAACTCGATAGAGACATCCACTCTTGGTGAGACCAAAGGCATACAGATATAAATTTTCTGCAAATATTTTGCAAACTTTCTGATGAGTCGGCGGAAATTGTGCGCGTTACTGGTAGCGTAAAGGCTGGGGCTGGAGTAGATGAACGGTCATTAGATATACTTACGGCAGAGTGGCTTGTTGACATACCTGAGTGTCACTGGGAAGCTGCTGCTCTCCTTGCTGCTGGTAATACTTGGTATATGGGTTCTCTCCTCTTCGGATAGCGGCATCATCCACCTCGACTCCAGGATGTCCATTCTCCATCATCATGCGTCGTTGCGTTGAAGCTTCTCTGCCGTCCTCTGAGAGCTTTGCTTTCATAATGTTTTGGACAGAAAAGGGCCTGAAGGACGATGTGTCAGTGGGCGCAGACAAGGGACCCGCGGATTTAGCCAATTGACTCACCCGTTGACTTCACGATCCAAGATCATGTACTCCTTGGCTGCTTCCTTTGTACCTCTCTCTTGTAGGTAGACCATGTAGTAGTGTGATAAGTCTTTGATGGTGAGAGGCGGCAAATGGCTCTTCTTCCTGATATCCTCATGCACTTGCTTAATCCTCTTGTACTGTGTTGGCTCGCTTTCAGCGCTAGTGGGTTGCTCGAGCTCGAAGAAAAGGTAATTGATCCAGAATGGCCTACTATCGAGGTACCAATGCTGATTCTTCTGGAAGACTTGGCGCGCTTCGTCCACGGATCCTTTGATCTTCCAGAGCAATCGTGCCCATTCTGCGACCAACGCTGCTTTGGCGTAGATATCGCATTGCACGGAGTCGATTTGGGATTTATAGACTTCAATTGCTGCGTCCAGTCCCCCGTGGCGTCGTGATAGATTCGCCAGAGAGACAATGGTCTCAATATGACCGGGTAGGTTGACCAATATAGCTTGATGGATATCTTTCGCAAGCTCAACTCTGTCGACTGATTCTTCGAAGTATGCGTAATGCAGGCGGACAGCTGGCCGTGAGATGGGTGCATAGAGCATGCTGGCACGTTGATAGATGTTTCGTACTTCCTCCTCCTTTCCATCTTGTACGATCATCCAGCGAGCGTAGCGAAGCCAGAATTCGTCGTAATAGGCGCAGGTCACCAAGCACCTCTCGTAAAGAAATTGTGTCCTCATGTAGTCGCCTTCAACCTCTTCAAAGTCGAGGTATTTTCGCCAATTGACCAATTGGCCTTCGTCGAGCTCGGTGACGTGGAAGTATGGTCGCTTGACTTCTGACTCGTAGGTCCACCGCTTAGTCGTCTCGGTTTGTGTCCGATGGAAAATCTCCAGGTGAAAATTATCGATACGGCTCCTTAGCTCACGCTCAATCTCAAGCTCCCCACGCTCTGCTGGACCCTCATTTTCAATCTCCGCGCGGAATTGGGCGAGCATGTCTGCAGGTAAGAGCTCTTGCAAAGGTCTGATCTGGGCAAGATGTCGATAACGTTCAAAGTAACGGGCGTACTGATGCATCGGTATGTGTACTATGCGGTCAAGGATTGGGAAAATCTTGTCCTGAGCTTCGAGACGCTCCTCAAATTCCAAGTATTTATCCCAGAAGGGATGCGCTAGGAAGTCCAGGCCTACAGAGCTAGCGCCTCGCTCATAGAGTCTGCAGTATATTTATTAGCTTTTGGCAGCGTTTAGGGAAAGGAGGAACGGCAAAAAGGAGGCAGAGGGCAGCAAACGTGGCATGTGTATTTGCTCAGTGATCTTGAGCTCCGCGAAAGCCCATCAAACTTCAACTTTGTACGCAAACTAGTGCATCGCAGGGTGGGCAACGTGTGAGCGAACGAAATGAAAGCGCCTGACTGTCATGTGAGAGGAAGCAATTTGGGGGCTGGTTGTGACTTTCTCACCCGTCTCAAAGCCGAGCTGAAATAGTCGTTGTTCACCATGGTGCTTGGCCAGAAAGCCGTGCTGTGTTTCTTGTGGTTATGGGAAGGAAACCTTGTCTGTCTCTACTTACTCTCGGATCACATCGGGGTCATGGCTGGTCTCGACTTTGAAGGCGCAATAATTTGTCCAAAGGTCAACGGAATTGGTGATGCTTGCTACACCACGTTCGTAGACCTGCATATTTCAGCTTCTTTCTTGGGTTGGCTCCAAAGCGATACAGCCTACCAACTCCGCAGCCTCGGTCCCCGCGATGGAAAACTCGAGATCTGCATATTTCTTCCAGTATCCAAATAGCAAGGGGAACTTGGCAAGGAAGCGATCGTATATGTCTCGAGTAGCGGAGATCGATTGGGGACTGGAGTTGCGGTTGAGACCTCCCTCGAGAGACTCTGCGGCGCGGACGAGCTTTTCCCAGTGTTCGAAGCTATCTGGTTCTTCGAGCTGTGTGATAAATGAGCAGAGTTCCAGAAAAGATACAAATGACCCTTGGGGAAGACATACCACTTCTGCGTTCAGCTTCTTCAATTCTGCATTCTCTTCATCGCTGCCACCAAAGCTGTAGTCGGCCATCGTGCGGGTAAGACCGCGCAGTGTTCGAGGATGTAGTGTATGTCGACGTCTCGAGATGTGTAACTTTGCACTAGATGCGGAATTAATTTGCTGTAGTGTTGATGATGTTGAAAGGATGTATGGAAAGATTCTTCGGAGATTCTACATCTGACTTGAATCTCGGAAAGTGTCGCCTCTTGGCACTGATGACTCAGCGTGTCCTTGGCTCACAGCAATCTCCAGTTAGCACGCGAAGTCAACGAACTAACCCAAAGGGGCTTAGCGATCTTGGCACGTCCAACTTCAAAACAATGCCCTTTCTCCTACCCGCTCGCTGCCTCACCCCTCTCAATTTCACTTGACTGTGAGACGGTTCATGTCGCGAAAGAATTCAGTCGGGCAATAATAGGATCAATATACTTGATATGCCTCGTCGCTTCATCGACACCATTCAATTAAAATGAGGCAGCTGTGGAGCTCGATTATTTGCATTGCTAATGGACAAGAAAGCAACGCACGCTTGTTTGCGACCTTGCCAAGTAAATAAAGCACCGCACGCATGCTTGCAACCTTGTCACGCCAAGTACAACACTGAAATCGCTATGTCTATGCCAATCCTCCGACCCGCCTGTCTGGTCACTTCGCCGCCTAGGCACGAAGTTTGGGCTCGATACGAAGACTTGGATTGAATGGTACCTCATGCATGACAGACTCCTGCTCTTCACTGAATGTTTCGGCGTTTGGATTCCCTTTGATAAGGTCATCTACTGCTTCGTCCCATCTGACTAGGTTTGCTTCGTGTGGTGCCAAGAGCTGTCGTGTTCCGGGCGCATCCATTGGGTCACCGGAGGCGAACTTCATGGGGAGATGAAAGCCCAGTGTTCTGTCAGAATCTGTGATCTGGGGACCGAGGCGGCTAATAGGAAAATCGAATTCTAATAGACAACGACGGTCAGCAAGAAAGGTGTACCAGAAGACCATTTGGAACGGTACTCACGGTATTTGATGATTTCATCAATTGTCTGCTGCAAGATCTGGTAGGCGCCATCCTGGTTAGCAAGGAAACATATGCCGGCCTAGAGAATGTGTCAGCTCATATGCTAAGCCTCCCATCAAAGTAGGCGAGTATGAACATACCTGGCCCTCGCCCTCAGCATTGTTGCGTATAATGATCACCCTGCCGCCGAAAATCAAATTTTCTATATACCGACCAGCCTCGCCTGTGGGGGGGTCGTCCTCCTCTGAGCCACGAATGTGAGGCGGAGTTCTTGTCTTGCCTGTTGGGCCGAGAGAGGTTACAAAAATGTGGGCGAGTTCGTGCATGAACGACTTGGCAAATGTGAACAAGAAGACTCGGAACCGCTTGGACACTTTGGAATCCGGGTCTTGAGAACTTTCTGCCCCTATTCCCGCGATGCACATTTGGTGAACCTTCTATGTTATGGTCAGCTTACTCAATCATAGAGCTCGTAACATCAAAATACTTTCGACTTACCGGTCCGTTTATCAGGATACCCTGCTTGCGGGGGTCAAAGCCGTAGCCCTCATCGCGCCAGGCGCGTCTAAAATGACACGCTATGAGGTCTGGATTTTCCATGGAGTTGTCAACAAAGACTAGAGGGAAGCGCTCAAGTATCTTGTTGATGAACGTCTCGACGATACCATCCTTGGGTAGCTTCGGATCGTATGCTTCGGCAAATTTCTTGAAAGCGTCCTTGACCCTCGAGGTTTTCAGCATTCCCCGGCATATACTTATGGATACCGCGACATAAGTGGCTGCGTTTTCGTCATACGGGATGATATTAACTGGCTGTCCCTTATTGTCTACGCGGATGATAATGAAGGCCTCATTGAATAATGGAGGAGCCATGACTGTCCTGTGGTGACTCACGGGTAGGAACGGATTGGTTTAGAGCCCGTAGAGGTGAAGTTTATGGTAGATGGGAAAATCAGCTTGACTGTAAAAAAGATGAGAGGACCTGGATGTTGAAGAGAAGAGAGAGCGCGGGTGAGTATGGGCAAAAATTGAACACTTTACACCCGAGACAGGGCCTACTCAATCTTTGGTGGGATGCGCAGCATTAGCGCCTAGTACATGAAAGGCTTAATGGTATCAGGTCTGGACATCGCACATGAGGGAGACCTTTTCCTAAACAACCTCTCCCGAAATTCCGGCTTCTCAAATCAGAATGATGTCTCGGGCATAGGCGACGAAGATGGAAGGCACTTCCTTCGGAACCTCCCTCCTGAAGTTTTCATTTGTCAAACCCATAATCTGCTGTGAGTGGGACCTTGTGTCATTGAATCAGATAGCAAGGCTGCTTCTGGTCTGTCCGTCAGTTTCTCGGATCCGCAAGCAGACACCAGCGCCCAGAGGGTCACATAACCAAGTGATTTTCCGGCTAGGACAAGTATAAAATAAGGCAGAAGTCTCTAAGGCGGTCCTGCCGAAATCTGTTCCGACAAAACGACAGTCTGGTGTGGAGGAGGTCTCATCTTACAGGTCAAGATCGCGGCGTTGCTTTAAACCTGGCTGCCAGATTCCAAGCAACGATGACAGGGTGTTACACGAAGTCTGCAACATACCGATTACGAGAGTGGCGTGGCGAAACGTACCGGGCGTGACAGTGGCGCTGCCAAGTATGGATCTGTAACTGTAGCTGTGTACCAGTCGGAGAAATGTCGAGATTGACGACCAAGAAGAGCACATTTTCTATTTGCTGAAAGCTCTGTCGGAGCTGAGTCTTACTGATGACAACTGAAACATTGGACTTGACACAAACGAGCCGTGTGAGAAGTGAAAGCCCAGGCACTTAGGAGCACTCCATACTCTGATCTCGCCTGGTGGTTACTGACTCGAGTGTGCTGCAGCTTGCCGAGAATCTGCAAATGATGCCCGCAGGCTACCAATAGGGGATACCCGGTACTGTTACTTTGCAGCCGATGGCCAGGCATCAGTGTTTAGGATGTGCAGGCATTTTGAAGATGGATTTTGCAGACGTCATGTGCCTAATGTTTTATGATAGGCGCTGGAGCGGGTCTGGGGACGGCGTTGAGTGCTTCAACGGTATGAGGCTGGATGAATTTGTCCAGTCAAGCTCTCGGTTGCAGTTGTGTTGGAAGATGATGGTGTGTTGCAAATGCCAGAATCAGAAAAGGCTCGGGAAGCGGAAAGCGCACGGCCCTTCCGGCGGCACAAAGTCTCAGATAAGGTCGTACTCCTGAGCTACACCAAGTCCACAGCTGGGTACTTCCGTGCTAAGACATGAGACATGCACGAGGAAAGTACTGAAGTACGGGTACCAGCGGCACTGCAGGTGAGAGTCATGCGCAGGCAGCCGGTCAGAGATTCGTCGACATATTGGCAGTGTAGTCTGGTGTAAATAAGTCGGGCAAGATGTCTCGGCGTCTATCAATCCTATGTTATTATACGCTAGACACAGTAGGAAAGGCCAAGCCTCTTCCTCGCAGTTTGCCTAGCTCCGCCTCCATATTTGTTTTCTGCAGGGCAATCATATTAACATTAAATACTGCTTTGTACACAAAAGCAACATGGAATCAGTTGAGTTGAGTGCCAACGAGATGCCTGCATTCGGTGATCTCATCAATCTCAGTGCCGAAAAGCTGCAAGAGTTGGAGACAGTTCTTAGCTCAATTCTGGCCTTGCCTGTCGCCCGAGAGACCTATGCTCAGATCATTGATGGAAAGCCCACTCGCACCCCTTATTCTGAGGACATCAAGGCCCACAGATCTGGTCTTTTGGAGACCATCATCGTCAATGATAATTCAAAGCCCAGTGATGGAGCTTTGCAACAGTACGAAGAGATCAGGAGGACCTTCGTGCCCCAGGGATTGAAAATTGACCTTGAGGTGCGTACTCCCTCCCTGTCAGTAGTCCACTCATCAAAACTAACTCAACACAGCTGACCCAAGCCTACCAAAATGCGCTACCAGGCAGTCGTGAACATCTGTTACGCCTCCTGCAAATAGCAGCAGCTTCAGTGAATGCATTGGCGGGAATGATATATGCATCCTTCCACCCGGATACGAAAATCATGCCTCCAGAACCGCGAGAGGGGCATTTCTGGCAATTCCGCACGACTGACCATTTCTATGTCGATTTCTATCATACAAATTACCGAAGATTCCAACGCTACCCATTCGGCCTATTGAACGTTGTGGGATACTGGGCCGAGGCCGAGCTTTTCGGCGGCGTCGTGTTGTTCGAGCGGGTAGAATCAAGCTCTAAGGTAAATGTGAATCCACTGAGTTCTGACACAACCTATGCTAACGAACACCAGATCATCAACGCTTTCCTGCATCCGCAGACCGCGGCCCGTGCTTACCAGCTCTCCGAACAGCAGCTCAAGTCATTCGCAGACCTAGGCATAGCGGGCGATGCAGCTAAAAGCGCTGGCGCAGAGACCGTCCTTCCATTCGCCAAAGAACCAGACGCCCGTACCGAGCTCACCTTCGCCAAAGTGGGAAAAGCACCACTTCGTATCTACAAGAATGAATACGACCAACCGCCGGTGTCGTACCTTCCAGAGGATCCGGGCTGCGTGAAGATGGGAGACGGAGAATCGGGCGCGAAATTCGATGACTTAATGAAGTTCGTGCAGGAAAAGGGATGGGACAGGGCGCCTACCTACCCCGCGCCTTTCGAATCCCAACCGTCTCTCCGGGATGCGTACTCGGCGAGAGACGGTGCCTCCTTCTCGTCGAAGGATGGTTCACACTCAGCGAACAACGAAGGCCCATGAATACGGACAAGCCATGGTTGTGGACGGCCGGAACCGTCCTTTCTGCTCGAACCATGGTTCTTGAAAGCGATGCTGGTCATGTTCAAGTCTCCTCGTACTCGGCGCTTGTTGTCACCTCGGTTCGTCGAGGTCTGCGATGGATCTCTTGAGGACGATGGCTGATGACTAGCATACTAGATAGAAAAACGACTTTGCATGCGTTACTTTCTGGTAGATCAATAATGACTGACTGTCTCTGACTGCGCCCTCAAGACAATCTACCTACCTACCTCACCCCTCGCTTCCAACTCCACGGCGTCCCACACTCCGACTTCCAGAAACATCTCCACGAGCTCCTGTCGCACGCCACCATCTGTACAACCGGGGCTCCCGAGCCAAGAGAACGTGGCAAAAGCCACGCATACGGGTCGGAAAGCCCCCTGATAGAATCGTAAAAGTCCTACAGTTCAGGCGCGCGGTGCCAGATAAAAGTGACGATTCTCACGAGATGCTGTAAACTGGGCATCTTACCTGGAAATGGAAGGGAGACGGTTGTAGAAGTTGTTTAGTCTAGGCGCAGTGCCGGAAGAGTATGGTAGCTTTCGCGATTTTTCTTTCTGAAGAGTTTTTCATTTTTCCTGCAAAGGAGTTGTTTTCAATGCATTTGGTTCTCTCCGGATAGTTATTCAAGAAGGATGGTCGATTTATTGTGGTCGATAGTTACAGATATGTACGTGAATGGAGGGAAAGAGAGCTTTGTCCTGTTATGAAATGGAACTGTCTCTCTACGCATGACTTTTGCCACCTTCTCTTACCATCAAGACGAAGATTGCAAATTGATCACATGTCCTTTCGACGAAACTCCAACCCGAAGTGTCCTCTATCGACGCAAGAGACCTACGAAGCCTTACTTCCATAATCGTCGATGTATTCTTTCAGCGTGTTGGTGAGCGTTCCGTCTTCTACGAAACCCAGAGCTTTCGCCCTCGAAATGTCCACTCTTGTCGGCCAGCTCAAGACTATTTTCTCCGTTGCGTCGTCTCTCTTCTCCTCTACAAGTTTCAATGCCTCATCGCCTCCCACGGCTTTCAAAGCATCCAGCATCTCCCGAATAGTCACCGTCACACCAGGGATATTCACAATCCGTGTCCCGGGGAATTTCTCCTTTGGGATGTCCCTCGCTAGTATCAGGTTCTTTACTACCGTCCTAGGCGAACAGATCCACATCTCGAGGTCTTTCGAAACAGGCAAAATGCTCTTCTCTCCGTTCAGTGGCTCGCGAAAGATACCGGAAGCGAAAGAGGACGCGGCTCCCGTGGGTTTGCCGGGCCTGACGGTAACCTGGTCATATCATTCAAATTTTACTCTAAACTTAATGGAAAGGAGAGCATAGATGTTTACCGTTGGTAGTCTACATACGCGTCCATCCAGCAACCCTCTTCTTGAATAGTCGTCAAGCAATGTCTCACATATGTGCTTCTGGGCCCCATACGACGAGCCAGGCACCGGTGCATTCAGCTCTGTTATCTTGGTCGTCGGGGTGGCAGGTGGGCCGTATACCGCTAATGAAGAGGGATAGACGACTTTGACGCCTGGGTTGGTGTGTCGAAGTATGTCCAGAATCTGCCTCGTCGAGTCGATGTTTACCCTCAAGCCCAGCTCAAGATTCGCCTCACTAGATTATAATTTCTGAGTCAGTGTCGCCTAGACGAGAGGGTGTGTTGAGCTTTGAAACATGTCTACAGAGTGGATACTTTCAAGACGTGCCTCAAGGCTCAAGATCTGTTCCGGACGACGAAATATAAACTTCGAAAATACGTACGCAGCCCCGGACATAATGCCATGGAGGAGATATACCAGGTTGATGTCCGGGGTGAAGAGAGATTGGCATGTTTCCAGAGATGTGAGATCGGCATCCAAACAGCGAGTTTCTACCTCTGATTGTGATTTCGTCTGAGGAACATCTGGTTTGAACACATCTGTCAATGTGATTTTGGAGACGAGAGGGTCTGCGAGGAGCGCAGCGGCAAGGGCCTGGCCAACGAAGCCGCCTGCTCCAGTGATTATGCAGTTGAACTTTGACCCCTCGTGAGGACCCATTCTCCTCTGTGACTTGTAATTTGAAAAG